CCATATAAATTCTTTCCCATTAAATTTACCAGAACGTCAATAATTGATTTTATCTTTTCTTTATTTTTTTTTATTAATTTAATTATTATAAAGAAAAAAAACTTTGAAAGTAGAACAAAAGAATCATTTAAAGATTTAATTGAGTTAACTTAGAATTTAAGGAGATGTGGATGGTCACCATTCTTAAGTGTGAAGTAAGAAGCCATATATTCTTTAAGGTATGGAACTTTCTTAATTTCAGCAACAATACTTTCATCTACTTGTTTTTGTTTTTCGACAATTAATGCTTTCTTAGCTTCATATTGTTTCTTAGCAAAATCTTCTTCAACAGTTTTTCCAAAGGCAGCTTTCTTAATAGCAATCTTTTTGAAGAATTTGACATCTACACCAGTAGTATCAACTTTAGAAACATCTACCTTTTGAGAAGTAGCAATAACATATCTTTGATTAATTCTCATTAATGGAACTCCATTGATTTTGAATGGTCCAGTAACAATAAGAGCCCCTGATTTAATACATTGTTTTAAGAAAACAACTTTCTTTCCTGCATATTTACCAGCAACAATAATAAGAATAGCACCTGGTACAATACTTTTTCTTAATTTTTCAAGGTTCCATGCTGGTTTATCAAGAGCTGTTATTTTAGCTCCTTTTCTTGTTCTTAATTTCTTCTTTTGTTCTTGAATCATATCGTCGGTTGGGTAATAAGCTGGAACTTTAGCATCACCTGCTTTAACTGGAACAAACCATTGTGGAGCTGACATCGATTCAATTATCTATTGGTAATATTTTTTTAAGTAAAGAGGAAAACCCTTTTGAGTTCTTATGACTTAATAATAAAAGAATTATTTTTATAGTTTTAATGAGGAAAGATGATTTGATGAGAATGAAAAAGAGATGATAATAACCAAAGAGTATTTAATCAAATCCACCTTATATAACATGAGACAAGAAGAATCTCCAACTCATTTTGGAGAAAAATTGATATTTCTACAAAACTCATCATATTTTGGTTTTAAACTAGGTTCTTTACTTACTATATATTCTAAAAGATGCTCTTTGAAAAGTCCTTTATATTCTGTCACAACTGAGTGGAGCTGAAGTGTTGCTTTTGGATTTGTTGATAATCGGTTTAAACAGTCTAAAGAATAGCGAACAAGACGACCATTAACATCTCTTTTTTGCATAACAGTTGTTACGATTGAATGACAAAGAAGATTGGCAATTGATAAAATCTTTTGTGATGTTTCACAAACATTTTCTAATGCAGTGTTTTCACTAAATAATTTGGAAAGAATAAAGGTAGCAATTACTCGTGATATTTCTGCAGCGTGTTGTATAGAAACAATACAAATCATAAGTACTTCTTTATCCATTAAATATTTAACAATTTGAGGGTCTCGAGTTTTAGACATAGCCCCTATGACTCCAAGTGATGTTAAACGTAAGTATTCAATTTCTCTTTCAACTTGAGTAAGAGCGAAGATTGGTGTCAAAAAATAAATAATATCAATTCCAATCAAAAAGTGTTGAGTTTTTGGATGAGAAGCAATTGTTTGGAGTAATGCTAAAGCTTTACAAACTCTTTGAATCAATGAATAGGATGATACAGCAAGAGTCTCTTTATGTTTACCAGATATGTAGGGATAAACACTAACAATTTCTTCAAGTAAAATGACAACTGTACCATATGAATACCACAAAGGAATAGCTAGATCTGGGTGCTTATCAGCAATTACCGATAAAGCGTTTAAAGAATCAAGACGTTTTTCGATATCAGCTAAATCAGCAATTAATTGACATGTTTCAGGAGGAAGGTCAGGTAAGTTGAAACTAGGAGAGGGTTTAGGGGATTGTTCCACTTTAGTAGTAGGTTTTTCAAGTTTTTGTGGAGTCTGTTGTTGAGAATTTTGTTGTTGAGACTGTTGTTGGCCTTTATTTCTGTTTCTTTTTCCTCCTTTTGCTGAAAGAGGAGGGAACATTGTGTTGATTGACATTCAATTTATTTTCCAGTTTTTTTTTCCTTTTTTTTAATTTTTTAATTTTTGTTAATATTAATAACATTTTCTTTTTTTATAACTCCATAATTCATTAAGTTTTTGATTTTGGTAAAATTATTTGTACTTTATTTTTCTCTTCTTAAACTATTATAATTGATAAAACTAAATTTATTGGTTGAAATATTGAAGGCACTTCACTTACACAATGAAATAATATGTTTTAATAAAGTATTATAATTTATAAAAATAAAGATTAGCATAATATTTAAAACTCACAAAGACTTATTGGATAAATCAATTACTTTGTTTTTAGTTGGTTATTTTTAAAAGATTAGTTATAAGATTATTAATAATGAATCATAATTTAATATAAAAGGAATGTTATTCATTAATTATCCATATATGTTTATTGATTAGACTATTTGTATAATATTTTTTCATATTCTTTTCCAAAAAAAAAATGAATTTTTTATCTTAATTTAAAATTTTTATTTATAAGAATAGCACTCTCTATTTTTATTATATCTTTTATTTTAATTAAAAATGAGTATATATATTATTATTGTTTTATATTTTTATCTTTGTTAGGTTATTGTTTTATAACGCATTGTCATAAGTTATTGTGCAGTATTATAATTCTTATTAGTTTTCATTAATGAATACATTATATTAATATGTTTATACCAATTCTATTGATTAGAGTTAATAATACTATTTTAAATAACACTATTTTTTATTAGTTGGTATTATCTGATTAATCATACTTCTTTTCAATTTTATTTTATATTTGTGTATTTTATTTTACTGAATATACTTATATTAACTATTTCTCATTTTCATTCAATAGAAACATATTCTTTATTATCATTTATAATTTAGAATATACGAATTCATTTTTATTAATGAATTTAGTTTTATTTTCTAACTATTCTTCTTTTGATGTATTTCTTTATATTTTTAGGTTAGTTGTTATTGGTCTATTAATTATATTTTAATTTTTTGCATACAATTTAATAACATGTTTTATTGATGTTATTTCATTAATATAAATATACACTTTTTAGTTATTTATTTTACTTGATTAATGAATACAGATTTTATTCATTAATTGTATTTTATTGTATTATTTTTAGTTGTTTTTTTTATTTTTATTAATCGTTTATTTTTCAATTTAAGAGTGAGTTGTAAAATAGAAAATACCTCAGACAAATTTTAAAATAAATTAATTAGTGAATAAAATAAATGAAACGGATTTTCATATAAGTGTTTAAAAGAAGATACAACATTAAAGCAAGAAAAAGAATAGTCAAAATAAAACAAATTTAGAGGAAATAATATAAAATAATAATGGAACAAACCAATAAAATGGTTTTAAAATAGTCATAAATTCATTAAAAATAGAAATTTATTTAAATAAAAATAATATACAGTTAATTAAATTCGTATATGATATTAAATTTTTATTAATAAACAATTTAAAAAAAAACTATTTTTAATGACAAATCATTTATTTACCATAACATTTTAATAACTCATGACACAGTTATGAATACTATAGTAACGATTAAAATATTAATATAAAATTATTTAAATGTCAGTTCAATATATAAGGAAAAAACAAAAAATGAAAAATAATAAATATCTACTTATTAGAATTCAAAAAACAAACAAGAAAATTAAATCAATAAGACTAAATGTTTAACTTTGTGTTACCTAATAATTTATACTTAGAGGTAAAAACAATAGGAAAATAATATTTTATTTTTATTAAGTTTTGTATAATAAAAAGTACTCATAAGCATATTGAAATGTTTCAGTTAAATAATTTTCAGATTTCAAAAGAAATTTGATGTAGTTAGTATCAATATAATTAATGATGATTTCAACAAATTAACATTAATATCTAAAAGTAGCATTTATAATGATTTAATGATATTTCTAATTAATTTTTAAAGTAATAAAACTATGAACAACAAATAATAATAGGAACTCTATTACTTTTTAGAATGTTAACAGACCTTCTGCTAATGAAACATTTACTATAAATTAGTTACAATAAATACATATTTGATATATGAGATTTTGTTAAATGATGAAAAGAATCTGAATTAAATTAGGAAAAAAATAATTATATAATATTTTACAATGAGTATAGCTTGATTATTATCGTTTTTAATGACTTTATATAACATAGTTGAGATTACTTACTTAAATCTAGAGAAAAGTCTATAAACTCCACTAGAGGAAAAAATAGAAACAAAGAAAATATAACCCACTAAAAGATTTTTGAAAAGAATAACTATAAATAAAAAGAATTTGATAAGTCAATTCTTGAAGTAAATATTGCAAATAAGATATATTATTGTTTTAACTAGAAATAAAATATCTCAATAACTTCACTAGTATATACTACAAAATAATGAATAAAAGAATTCAATGAATTTAACTAAACTTTTCTTAATTTTTTGTAGAATATAATTGAATTTTTTTTTTATTGTAAAAAATGCTCTACAAACAAAATGTATTATTCTCCAATTAATTTTCAAACAAATTCCAGTTATCTTTGAGCATAAAGGGCATATTTATTAAATGTTAATAATTCTATAAATATAGATAATTTTTAATTATAAAAATTTTTTCTCGATTTTTAAAATTGATATATCTTTGAAAGGAACAAAATAGATTCGCCAAAACCACATTTTAATAATTTTCATTTTTCCTTTTCAATTTGTGATACTGCTATATTTTTACTATTTCTTCCAATACTATTTTAATCAATTGATTTTTTTGGGCAGTGTATTCTTGGAATAGTTTTCAGCATTAGAAAATATCTTAAACAATTCGTTTAAAATAGAGTCATGGGGTTGAATTGTTTTGGAAACTTCCAAGGGAAGAAGAGAAGATAAAAAGGAAAGAATTAAAAGATGAGATAGAAAAGAGGAAAAGGATATGCAATCATCAATAGAAATGAATGAAATAGGGAATCTTGTTTGTGAAACACCAAATAATGAGAAAAGAAGTGAAGAGAAATATATAAAAGAAAGAAAAGAAAGAAAACAAGGGAGAAATTGGACAAAAGAAGAAGATAAAAAATTAATAAAAGGAGTAGAAATATATGGAGAATCTAAATGGGTAGAAATATCAAAAATAGTAGGAAGTAGAACAAGAAAACAATGTAGAGAACGATATATTAATCATTTAAAAAAGAATATAGATACAAGTAAATGGAAAAAAGAAGAAGATGAAATTATATTACAACAACATTCAATAGTTGGAAGTCATTGGTGTTCAATTGCATTATATTTAAATAACAGAACAGCACGATCGATTCGGAATCGTTATTATTCATTAATTAACAAACAAACTAACACATCATGTTTTAAACCAACAACTTTGACTCATTATAAAATATTAACTTCTTCTTCTTGGTTTTAATTCTTCTTCATCTCTTTCTTTTTTGTTTTTCTTCTTTTTTGTTATTGAAGATAATAAGGGAAGAAATAAAAAGAATATTCTAAGAGAAGAATAAACTTAAAAATTCAATGTTGCTTTTACTAATCTCACTTACAACAGCAATAGATGTCAGTTGTAATATTCCTTTTTGTCAAGAATGCAAAGGAAATCAATGTTCACTTTGTATGGACGGATTTTTACTTCAAAATGGTCAATGTGTTTATGGAAGATCAGTGATAAAACATTGCAAAACTATTAAAAATAATAAATGTTATAGGTGTTTTGATGGGTATCATATTCATCATGGAGAATGTGAAAAAAATGATATTTTATGTGTAGAATATCACAAAGGACATTGTCAAAAGTGTAGAGAAGGATATACATTAATTGGTGATAAGTGTAATAAGTGTAATGTTCCAGGATGTGTTGATTGTGATGGTGACGTAAACAAATGTAATTGGTGTTATCATCAATTTTTAACAATTAATGGATCATGTATTCAATCTATTGATGCATGTGATACTTATGTTAATCCGTTATTTGAAAATTCACCTTGTTTAAATTGCAGAGAGGCATATTGGATTGAAGATGGAAAATGTGTTAGTTTGTTCTTTTTTTAATTATTTTTTATTTAAAAAAAAAGAAAAGTATTCAATGTAATAGAAACTCAAGTTGAACACTGTATGTCAGTTAATAAAGCTCATTTATGTGGTACATGTTATGAACCATACGAAGTCAACGATAATGGAACAGCTTGTATTATGAAAGAGAAAAAACAAATTGATGGATCTGAATATAACTTATATGTTAGATGTGAATTATTACAATTAGATATTCCAGAATGTATGAAATGTGGTGATGGATTTTATAGAAGTAATAAGACTGGAGAATATAAATGTCATGGTTTGTTAAATTTAATAAAAAAATGAAATACATTTAATTTCAAATAGTAATTAATAAATAGAATGTACTGAATCTGATAAAACAACATGTGAAGGAAAAGATAAGGACAGTTGCAGAAAATGTAATTCGGATTGTTCATTTGTTAATGGAAAATGTGAACTTACTAATTGTGCTGAACATTCTCTTCCATATGATAGTATTCCATCTAAATGTAAAAGATGTAAACCAGGGTATATTCCTGTTGATTTTGAATTTTGTAAGAAAAGTGATGGATGTTTGAAAAAAGTGGGAGATAAATGTTCTCAATGTTACGATAATTATTTCTTAACGAAAGATTTTTCGTGTGAACGTTTGTTAACTTATTTGTATTGTTTATAGTTTTTCACTTAATAACTTTTAATTTAACTATTACAGCATGTGACGTTTCTTGTCAGACTTGTTCTAATTCTGCTAAACAATGTACGAGTTGTGTAAATGAAGGATATCCACATACCCATGAAACTTGTGAAGTATGTAGTGATACTGGATGTAGTAGTTGTGAAGAAAATAAAGATTTTTGTACTCGTTGTTATGATGGATATAGTGTTGATGAAAATGGAAAGTGTGTATTAAAATGTTTTGAAACTGATGGTAAAGTTTGTACAATTTGTCGTGATATGTATGATGGCAAATACAAATTTTATTTACCAACAAATGGTACATGTGAAAGATATTCAGAAATTGCTAAAAAACCAAAAGAAAAGAAGTGTGAGAATGGTGTTTGCACTGAATAAAAAATTTATTCCTAATTGAACTTCTTTTCTCTTAATTTAATTTTATCAACTAAAAAAGAATAATTTAATAAAAATATTGTAATAACATTTTTTTTATAAATAAATTATAAAATAAATAATAACTTTTATTTTTTTAAATTTAAATTAATTTTATTTTTACACAACAATAACATTTTTCTTAATTTTAAATTGTAAACTAAAATTAAATAAAAAAAAATATTTTGGTTTGTATAACATTTATCTTTCTTTTATTCAAAAAAAAAACAGTTGAACATGACACAACAAGAAGACGACAACAATCACTCTAATGAAATAAACTCCCCGCAAATGGAAGAAACAAAAACTGATATTCAAATTAATGAAGAAAAAGAAGAGAAGATTGAAGAAGAAGAAAAAAAGAAAATAGAAAAACCACAAACAAGAAAAGATAGGGAAGAATATCAAAAACAAAGTTTTATGGCATTAAAAAGAACATTAAATGGGTTAGTAAACAAAGTTAGTTTAAGTAATATTAAGACAATCATTGTAGAATTATTTAAAGAAAATTTAGTCCGTGGAAAAGGGTTATTTGTTAATTCAGTGATAAGAGCTCAAGATGCTGAACCAAATTTTTCAAATATTTATGCTACTTTAGTTGCAGTAATTAATACAAAAATTCCAGCTATTGGAGAGTTAACAATACACAGAATAATTCATCAATTTAATTTAACAGTTAAAAGAGAAGAAGAAGAAGGTTCATTAAGAAAACTTCAATTTATTGCACAATTAACAAACCAACAAGTTTGTTCAGTCACACTACCTCTTCAAATACTAATTCAATTAATGAAAAGTCCAACAGATGAAAATATTGAAAAAGTAGTTACATTGTTATTAAATGTTGGAGAATATTTTGATTCAATAATAAAAGGAAAAGTCCAACCAATTTATGAACAATTAAGAGGAATTGTTTCAAGAAAGAAAGCGTCAGAAAGGATATGTTTTAAAATCAATCAACTTTTAAATGAACGAAGGAATGGATTTATTAACTATCCTTCAGTAATAGAAGAGTTAGACCTTATTGAAGATGAAGATAAAATTACTCATACCATTGATTTAACTACACCATTAAATACAATGGATGAACTTAATATTTTTAATTTTGATGAAGAATTTGAACAAAATGAAAGAAAATGGGAATTTAAAAAAGCTGAAATTATTGGAGAAGAGAGTGAAGAAGAAGAAGAAGACAACCAGATACAAGAACAACAAAAAACAAAAGAACAAACTGAAATTGAAAAATTTGATGATCAAACAGGAGCAGAAGAAATATTTCTAAAGAAAAAGATTTATATTACCATTATGTCATGTTATAATTTTGAAGAGTGTGTACATAAATTATTAAGTCTTAAATTAAGAGAAGGTGAAGAAAAAATATTAGTAGAAATGGTTATTGAATGTTGTTCTCAAGAAAAAACTTATAAAAAATATTATGGACTTGCTTCTGAAAGGTTATGTGTTTTATATGTTTTATATAAAAACCTTTTTATTGACCAATTTAAAATTCAATATCAAACTATTCATCTAAAAGATATGAATCAAATACGTAATATAGCAATGTTATATTCATATCTTTTTTATTCAAATGCTATTCCTTGGGAATTGTTTTCAATTATTAAATTAACTGATGATGATACTACATCTTCTTCACGTGTATTTCTAAAAATTATGTTCCAAAACTTATTTGAGGAAATGGGAATGAAAGAGTTTAAAGAAAAGTTATTTTCAAATGAACTTCAAGAAAGTATTAGAGGAATGTTTCCAACTGAAGACAAAGAGCATATTATTTTTGCTTTTAATTTCTTTAAAGGAATTGGGTTAGTAGAATTAGCCAAACCATTACAACAAAATTATTTAGCACTGAAAGAAAAAATAAAAAAGGAAACTGATTGAATTTTTTGTTATTCAAAAAAAAACGTTATTTAAAAAAAAATGAAAAAAGAAAAAGAAAGAAAAAAGAACTAAAAGGATTATTATATTATTAATAAAAAAATGTTGTGGACTTATTTACATTTAATAACAGTAATATGTTTTGCAAAGCAACTTAATATAAATACTAATAATGAATGGATGTCATTAAGAACATATATCGCAAATGATGATAATACTGAACAGTTAAAATTAATAAATAAACAAAGATTAAAAAGATTAAATGATATAGAAGAAAAATATACCAAAGCAAGACAACGCTCAATAAATTATGAACGAGAAGTAACAAAAAGAGATAAACAACAATTAAAAATTAATAAAAAAATTCATGAACGAGCAAATGCATTTAATTTAAAATGGATGAAAAGTAATATTAATGGAAAATGGAGTGGAAAAAGAACACTTGAAAGAAACAATTTTATAGAACAAACAGAAAAAAAAATCCCAAATGAATATCTATTAAAAGAATCACCAATTGAAGAAAATCCAGTATATTTAAAAATGATTCAAAAAAATAAAATAAGAGAAAAAGCACACAAAGAATTTATGAAAAAAAATGGAAAAACATGGAGTGAAACTGAATCACTTTTAAATCAAATTAATGGAGTTGTTGGAAAAGTAAATGAACTTGAAAAACAACGTAAATTAAGAAAGAGATATTCTAAACCAAGATATGTAAAAATTGTATATAAAAATAATGGTCCTCAATATTCTAATAAAAGATATATTCATAAACCAATTATTCCTTATATTAATAATTATTATAATAAACCTTTTACTCATAAAATTTATAAAAAAGTTATTAAGTCTATTCAAAAACCTATTAAATATGAATTTAATAAAGATAAAAAATTTAATACTTTTCTTCATGATGATACTTGGAAAAATCAAATGCAATTAAAGTGGAAAGAGTATGAACAAAAAAGACTTAGTTCAAAAGAACATGAACAAATTACTCGTGACATTAAAAAATTGGAATTAGAAGAAAAAAATGCTTTAAATGAAATTAAAACTAGAATGATTCAATCAGAAAAAGAACTTCAAAAACGTTCAGAATTACTTAAAAAAGCTTTACAACATGAACGTGAAATTAGTGAAAAAAAAATTGCTAAAGAAATTCAAAAAAAGGCTGTAGAATTCACAATTGAAAGAAATAAATTAAGAAGACAATTTAAAGAAGCTATGAATTCTGCTTTTAAAAAATTACAAGTTGAATATACTACTACTGGATCAGAAAAAGTAGACAGTTCAAATGAAATGAAAGAATTGAAAACCTTAACACAAAAAGTATTAAAAAACTTAAATACTGATGAAACACCAGTTTCAATTCTGATTTAACCAACTCATAAATTTATTGTTTTGTTTTAATATTTTGTATTAAATAACAAATAATAAAAATAATAAAAAAATAAAAAATTTTTGTTAAAAAAAAAAGAAGGATCTTTTCATTGATTTTAGAAAGAGAACTTAAAACTAAAATTTATAATTTATTTTATTAATGAAGTTAATCATTGTTTTACTTTGTTTTACTCTGTGTTTTGCTCAACAACAAACTCAAGAAAAAAAACCTGAACCCTCTCACGTTCATGCTGGTACTGCTCAAAGACAATTAGACAAAGTTCAAGGTGCTTCAAAACAAAGCCAAAATTCGATTGAATTCCATCACAACCACTTTGTCGAAGAACTAACAGTCTCAAAAAAAGTGTTAGAAGAAACAAGAAACACTATTGTAAATGGATTAAAGAAAGTTACTGATATTGTCGGAAGTATTGTTAATGGAAAACTTCGAGAGGTTAATAATTTACAATTAACAGCTCCTGTAACATCACGTTCAAATATTAAGAATTATATTGAGGCTCTTGATAAAAGTGTTAAATTAGAAAAAGAGACTCGTGTTAAATCACTTTCTGATAAAATGAAAGTACACACCCAAAAATTAACTGAAATGGAAAAAACACTTCAAGATGCTGAAAACGCTGAAAAAATTGCACATGACACTGCCTCAAAAACAATTCTTGAAATGTCTACAAGTGCTTCTGATTCATTAAAACAAGCACAACAAAACCCTGAACATAAAGGTGATCTTAAAGATGTTAAAATTCAAACAAGTCAAGGAGGAATAGAAGTTAAACAAACGTTCCGTGAAGAAGAACATAAACAAAGAAAAGCTGTTAAAGAAATTAAAAGGCAAATGAGATTACTTCGTGAAACTGCCCAAAAAGAATTTGCAGAATTTAAAGAGAATTTAAAATCAAAAATTCAAGAAATGTTTGTTGATTCTAAAACTAAAATATCTAAAGTTATTTCTGACGCTCTTGAAAAAGCACAAGCAGAAAAAGACGCTAAAGAAGAAAGTGCTGAACAAAAAGCTAAACAGGCAGCTGGAATGAATAATGGAGCTTCTCCTCAACAAAATAAAAAACCTGGAAATCAAATTCCAACACAAACACCAGCACAAAACCAAGCACCAAATTCCCAACAAACACGTTAAGTGAAGTTTTTAAACCAAGTTCAATAAGGTAAGTTAAGTTTTTTTTTATTATCTAAGTATTAAATTAATATTTTTATTCATTTTGTAATACTTTAAAGAAAGAAATAAGATCAGCATAATCATCTCTTTGTATTTTTGATGGATTACTAAATATTAATTGTCTCATTTTATCTTCTGACCTTGGAAATGCACCAAAGTATTTTCTAAGATCATCAAGTGTAAAAACTGGAATAAAGTAGTTTGGTAATTCATTATTAAATATTGACCAATTAATTTCATCTTTTCTTAGATTTATCAATACTTTATATTCTTGGTTATTTTGAAGTTCAAAAGATTGTGGTAATCGTTCAATCTCTTTTACAGCTTGTTCAAAGGTATCAAAATAATGGATAAATAATGAATCATTATAATCACTCATTTCTTTAATAAAAATAATGTTTGACCAAATTTGAGATAAATCAGATTGTATAATTGTATATAATAATAGTGGTAAAAATGGTTTACTATTCTTACATTTTAAACTTACATAATAACATGTTTGTTCTACTGCTTTTAAAGCACAATAAATACACATAACCTTTTCTGAAGGAGACCTAACAGCATCAATCTTCCTAAAAAATTTAATAGGAACAGTAAGTATTTTATTAAGATATTCAATTGGACCATCATAACCAAAATATTTAGGCTGAAGATATAAATGAGATGTACATGTAGAATAACAAATTGAATCAAATATTACTGAATCAGTGTAATCTATATTTTCTAACTGAGAAATTGAAGGAGGCCATAAATATCTAAATAACTTATTATAAAGAAACGTTTTTAAATTTGATGAAAACGTAATAAAATTAAATCCATTATCATCACGCCATATTACATTATTTTTTACTTTTTCAGATACTTCATTAATAAATGAAGTAATTATTTGTTTTCTTTCACTTAAAAATTTTTCTTTTGCAATGTTAGGAAACTCAATAATAAATGTCATGATTTTCTTTTCTAATTCAGAATTACATTCTGAGGATAATCGAGAATGAAATTTTGCTGTTTCCATTTCACTTTCTCTTAAACTATTAATTCGTGTTTCTGTACAATCAATATGAAAGTAATGGGGAAATGCTCCACTTCTTATTTGTGGATCATTTTTTTCATCTTCTTCAATACTTGGTATTTGTTTTCTTAATTCTTCAAATGAATTTTGTAATTCCATTAATATTTTATACATAGTTGTAGAAGGTGGTGAACTAAATTGTGATGGTTTCATTTTCCATGACCATGGTAGTGAGTTATTACATATTGGAAATTTGATTGATATAGTGATAATACTATTCCCATTATATTTAAATTCATCAACTCCACTTGCGTGTGTTGTAAATATTGGTTCGTTCGTTAGACATGACTGTAATAATTCTGACAATGTATCAGGTCGGTGACTATTCGTTTGTGTTCCATTGAATATTGTTATTACTTGTTCTTCAAATTTACCACATAACCCATTTAATGTAACAAACATCATTGTTTTAGGAGATAAATGAATTAAATGTGTTTCAACAATTGCCACTGAAATAGGAATATCTTTGATAATATCAATTGGTGGTAATAATAAAATTATATTAAAATGAACAACATACCTCATCAGATTTTTGTTTGATATTAAATAATTGATAAGCGGGTGATTAACCATAGTTTCAGTGGATTCAACTGAACCACTGGTTGATTCTCCTCCTCTTGAATTTCCTACTATTTTTGACCATCCTCCAAATGCACTTCCAATAGATAATGATGTCCTTGAATATTGTCGTTTAATTCTTTGCATAAATCCTATTTTTAAGTTTTATTCTTATCATCTTTGAATAACACATTTTTTTTTTGTTATTATAATGTATTTATAGAATCAATGTTCTATAAATAAAACATAACAAAGATAAACAATACTCTATAAATACAATACAAAAACTACAAAAATAGAAATCAAAATTTACAATACATTTATTTATTTAATATAAATTATTAAAAAAATACTATTTTTAATTTAAAAAACTTCAATTAGATTTTTTCTGGTTAAATTAAGAGTTAAATGTAAAACAAATTGAAAAATTAGATATTATCATGAGATATTCCTGATTTATAGAAGTACTTTATTTTAAATATTAGATAAAATCTGTCTTCTTGTTCTATTTTTAAGAAATAAAATTTCTAAAGTTCTATAATTAGAATAGTAATATTGTGTTCATTGTATATAAAGATATGTTAAAGTAAACTCATTAATTTAATTAATTCTAATGAACAGTGTTCGTGTTACTTTTATTGGACATCCTGCCACTGGAAAAACTGCTCTTATTAAACAATATTTATATCATAAAACCATTGATGAATATCTTCCTACAATACAAGATAGTTATAATAGTTTAATTACTGTTGATGGGTATAAGGTTGAAGTTACTCTTGTTGATACTTCAGGTGAAGAAGAATTTCATTTACTTCGAGATAGTGAACTCACTCGAAGTGATTACCTTGTTTATGTTTATTCAGTAAATGATTTGGAATCATTTGTTAATGCACAAGAGGATATTGCAGAATGTCTTTCTATAATAGCTAATAGTGGAAAAAAAGGATATCCATCAATTCTTATTATTGGTAATAAATGTGATGTTAGTAATCGTGTTATTTCATCAGAGGAAGGTGAGAAATTAACAAATAAAATTAAAAAGATTTGTCCATGTGCCTTCTTTGAAACATCGGCTATAAAAAATCTAAATCTCCAAAGTGTGTTTAACACATTTGTCACTGGCATATCTACATCTACTTCTGAACACAAAATTAATGATACAAAAGAACATGATAAAAAATATAAAAAACCAGTTGCCTTTAAAACTTCTCTTGAAGAATTAGACCATCCCCTTTCACATCAAAATAGATTTATTGCCTTTTTCTCACCAAGAAGAAGAAATGAAAAACGATAACTGAATAACTAAATAAAAATAGTGTTATCCAACTAATGTATTTAATCAATTGAATATTAAAAATATTTTATTTAAAATCAAACAATTATAATAAAATAATAAAAAAAAACCAATCAATGAATTACATACAACTCTTACTATTTTTTGCAAAATATGCAACAGTGTATTCGTACAATAAATCTGCACTTGGTATTAGTATTGGACATTTAAATGTTCCTCTACTATTGTACTTATAACAATTATTTACTAACAATTCAATATCTTTCATAAATTCTTTGATATTGTGATATTCTCCTTTTCTAATTTTCTTTCCAATATAATTTAAATCAATAGGATGTTTTATGATATTGATATAATCAGTAATAACTTCAACATTAACAGCAGAAATGAAAGATGCAAATAGTTTATTCTTTTTAAGACAACTTAAACATCCTTCAAGTAATTTTTTTAATTCAAGACTTTGTTCTTCTGTAACATCAACAACTGAAACAGTGACTGGCAATATTCCATTTTCATTTCCTAATACATCTAATACTCCTCCAGCTCCTTCAATCTCTTTTAAAACTTCTTCTTGTTTCTTTTCTCTTCTTATTCTTTTTTCTTTTTTAGGAGGTACCAGTACTTCTTCTATAGGTGTAACTATTTCTTTTTTTTCTTTTTTTCTTATCACTTTTTTTTCTTCAGGTGGAAGTTCTTCTTCCATTGGTATGATTGTGACATTCTTTGTAATTACTTCATTTTCTTTTCCAATTTCAAATTCTTTTGTTTCAACTGTTTTCTTTAACTCTTCTTCTTTTTTCTTTTCTAATTCATTTTTTTCTTTTTCTTTTTCCTTTTTCTTCATTCTTCTTATTCTTTCTCTAATTTTTCTTGTTTGTTTTCTAAGTTTTTGTTTGCTAGCTTCTCTTGATGGATCAACGATTTTATGTTGATAAAAAGTAAGTGCTGATCGAGAAGATCTTGATTGAAGAGCATCTTTCTTTGGTTTAGTATATGTTGTAACTTTTCTTTTTGTTTTTAAATAGTCTTCAAATATTTCTTTATTCATTTGTTCGTCTTCATCCTCATCCTCTTCTTCTTCAGCAATAGTATCATCAGTAATAAATGCAATTTGTTCTGCAAATATTTCTTTAATTTTTTTTTGTTTTTTCACAACAGAAGCTGAATTAGTTATTGGTCTATTTCCTCCTCCAGTATCAGTATTTACTCCAATACTTTTAGCAACTTCTTTTTGTAACAAACTAACTAAATCCCATCTTGTTTTAGAAAGTTCTTTTTCATCATTCATACCACAATCTTTTAAAGCATTCCTCAATTGTTGAAGTGTAAGTTTTCTAAGGTCACCGTATTTGTCTTTAATTTCCATATTTAGTTTAGATGTTCCAACTTGTTTAGGAATGTATCTTCTATAATATTCAATTAAATGTCTTGGATCTGTATCTTTAACAGTATAGTCTGTTTGAAGTGTTCCTTTAACTTCTTTAGCTAATACACTCATTGACGTCCATGGAGCTCTTCTTACTTCTTCGATCAATGGCTCAACCTTCTTTTTTAAGTCTGGATCAAATCCTTGTTTAGCTGATATCAATTGATTATATTTAAATACTTCAATATCTTTATCCTGTAATCTCATTTTACCTGCCATCATTGCTTCATAACAACAAACTCTTTCTGGTGTTACTTTAGCAAATAAATCATCTTCTGTTGGAAGGTCAAATGTTGGATTGAGTTCCCAACTTCCTCCACTATCATTTCCTTTTCTATTAAACTTTGCACATTTTCTAAGAATTTTTCTAACAGTAGTTTCTGTTTGATTTGGAAAAGCATCAACAAAATCTGTAACTCTCACAGTTGGATTACTATGAAATTGTAAATAAATAGCTGTTTCTAATCTTTCTTTATTAAATGTTGTTTCAGTTTTAGATCCTGGAACTGGTATTTCAGTATCTTTTTGTGGTTGTTGTTGTCCAGCAACAAATAAATGATCAATTTCTCTCACTGTCCACCCACTCCCATCTTCTGATCGAATTAATAAGAAATCTGTTTCTGGTATTTTAGTTTCATGAATAGGTGTTTTTGTCATTTTATTATCTAATGATTGAATAGGTTGTCCTGCTTTTACTTTTCCTAAAAATGGTGATTCTTCTCCACGTTCAACAATAACCATTTCACCAGTATGATATTTTTCAGGAACAACAGCTTCATCATCTCTTCTACAATAATTACGAATTCTTGCTCCCATTCCAACTTGTGATAATAATGGTGGAAATTCTTCTATATATTCTATTAAATGAATTTTACCATCTTTTGATGACAATTCTTTCATATTTTGTGGTACATAAGTATTATTTACATTAAATCTTTTTTGTTGTAATTTAACTGAAACTCCTTTAATATGCATTTTTTCAGCATCTCTAGCTGGAAGTAATGGTCGATGAAAATTTTGAAGATCAGGCATAGTTAAATGAGTTTGGAATGTTTCTAATCTTTGTGCAGGAATAGAGTGATAAATAATAAATTTTTTTTGTGTGTATCCTGTTTTTCCCATAAAATAATATCTATCATTAGATAAATCTTCCTCAAGTCTATCATCAGCAATTTTCCATATTTTTCTTTCTTTTTTCTTTTCTTCTTTTTCATCTTTCTTTTCTTTTTTATTTTCAGTATCACCACCTTCTTTCATATTTTTATCTCCATTTTCTTCTTTGTTATTCTCTTCTTTATTACTTTCAAATTCTATTGGTGGTATTTTTTCTTTAATACTATCTGAAAATCCTGGTAATGGTTCTAATTTTGCTAGTCCAGGCCTTGTTGATCCATCAAATGATGGAAGAACAAGAGTTACTTTTTTCTCTTCTACAGGAGCACTGGATTGAACTTTTGGTTCAACAACACCAATAGGAGTATCATTAGGAACTTCTTCTACTTTAACTTCCTTCTTTAATGGAACTACAGCCTCATTCAATAAAAGACCAGTATCATTTAAATCTAAATATAATGGTATTGGTTTCCTCTTTTCTACTTCAGTTTCATCCCATAAAATGTCTGTCTCCCAACAGTCAGTTTGAAGTAGTTCATTTTCTAATGTAAATAATGACCACTCTCCAGTTGATTTTTTATGTGTTTGAACAACAGGTTCTGAAACAGGATCAACTATTCTCCAAATTGATTTTTGAATTGTTGGCTCAATCATTTCTTTTGCTGTTATTTTAACTGGGACATCCCATTGAATAGCATTTTCCCATTCATCTAAAATGACATTTGTGTTTTCAATATGAATAACGTTAGCATCAATTTGTTTAACAACGTCATCATTTTCAATGACTTCGTTTACTGAATTGCTTTCTTCAACTTCTTCTTCTGGTTGTTCTTTTTCTTCAGAATAAAAAAATGCATAAAAAGGATGTTGTTCATAGTAATTCTTTTTATGGTGTTGATTCTCATTTGTGGTCGGTTCAGTTGAATAGAACTCGTTAGCTATATTAGGAGATTTAGGAATTATACCTAGTGTTGTATGAATCATTTCGTTCTGGTGTCTGCGTTTTGGTTTAAACATGTTTTTTGGGAAAACATCAAAACAAGTAAGGTGTTCACGATGACCAGCTTGATACATGTCGATCTAACTGACCACCGACTGATTTAAAAGTTCCTCAAATATTCATTGCTCTATTTATAAAACTATTTCTTGACAGAATTTTATTAAAAATTTTACTAGTGGTGCCTTGAGTAAAAAACAAATAAACTGAATTTCGAGTTCATTTTGAGAAAAAGTCCTTTCTTTAATTATTTATTAATATTTTTTACTAATAATCTCATGACTTCTGAGATTGTATCTTTTCATCAAACCTCATACAAGGAGGAATATTTATGAAACATTTTTTTGTTTTTTATTCTTTTTTATTTGTTTTTCAGATGAAGATACACAGTTTAAATGAAAGGAAAAGACGTTTAAATAGAATATAAAAGAGTGCTTAAGAAAGTGTTTAAAAATCATGCTAGGAGCGATTCAACAACGAAATCGAAATAATCGGTTTGTTCTTTCTCTTAATTTATATTTCCTATAACTTATTATTAAGATACTTTGGAATTTCAATTGAGTGTGAAAAAGTTTTTGAGACACGAATACCAAATTTTTTCTCTACAGAACAAATTCAATATCCCCCAAGTGACTGTGACAAAATTTTTGCTAGCTGTTGGATAAATGAAGATACAGTTGTCCTTGGTTCAAAAGATAATCAATTAATTGTGTGGAACGTTTATGAAAAAACAATTAAAAAACTTAAATTACCAAATACTGTCATTAATTTTGATAGGGGTTCTGGAATTCATGATGTTGACTATTATCCAAGTGGTGATAGTGGATTATTGGCAAGTGGTAGTGACTCGCCAAATGATATTGTTATTTTTGATACAATGTTACTTTCACCTATTGCCTTACTTAGAGGACATAGTGATTGGGTTTTTGGTTCAAAATTTATTGACGAAGATGTACTATTTAGTGGAGGAAGAGATGGCAAATTATGTTTCTGGAAAATGGATAAAAAACCTAGCTATTATAATATATACCCAACAAATAAAGTTCATATAGAACAACCATTTTTTGAAAGAACCATTCCAGAAGTCAAAATTCGATGTGTTGGAATTCAAAAAATGAAAAAAATATGTTATGCATTGACATCTGAAGGGACTGTTGGGATGTGGGATGCTGAGCTTATGGAACCTATTCATGATGAACAACTTGAAGACTCATATGAGTTAGTTACCATGGATGTTAAACAAGATGGAAACGTTATTGCTGTTGGCTCAAGGAGTTTCACTACGATTCTGGACCCAAGAGATAAAAATGAGGTTGTCATCATTGGTCATGTTGATGTCAACTGGGGAGTAAGAAGTGTATTGTTTTTAGACAATTACCTCGTCATTGGAGGAGGAAGTGGTAGTGTCTCTTTTGTTGATATGAGAAAACCTGGGAATTATAAACACACTATCTATCACAAATGCAGTGGTACTGTTAGAAATACTTTTCCTGACATGAACGAAACAGATATTCCACAGGCTGTATATACTATTTCCTCTAACCCTTCGAAGACAAATCTCTTTGTTGGGGGAGGTCCATTACTTGTTGGGGTTTCTGGCTATTTTGGTTCAGTATGGAATTAATTGTTTGTAAAAATAATTGCTTTTCGTTAACTTATTTCGTCTAATAAACCCAGAAAAAACTGAATTAATTATTAATGATTTTGGCATAAAGAAGGAATATTATAATAATGGAACTTGTAAGGAATGCAACAATAATACTTTTTGTTCTTTTTGCTGCTGGATTTTCTTTGTAATAAATTTCTAATATATCAGTATTATCACTCATATCAACTTCTTTTAATATTAATCTAACAATAGGTTTCTTATAATATGTCCCAAATGATGGTTGGTTATAAATTGTTTCTTCAATATAAGAACGTTTTGGATAATTAATAGAAGTGATTGTTGCTCCTTCTGGTAAAACAATATCAACTTCTTCATTTGAAACAATACCTTTGAAATCTACTTTTAAAGGAATGACAAGTCTCTTTTGTTCATTGATTTGTTGGACAGAAACATCTAATGGATAATTGTAATTAACTTCAAATGATGTTTTCCATCCTCCAAGTAGAGGATATCTTGGTGGTAAATATAATGTAGTACTTTTTGGTCTTGAAATTAAATGACCAGTAGTAATAAGACCAGTACTATCACGATATTCTAAGTTATACGCATTCACTTCAACTTCCATAGAAAAATCTTTAAGATAAATACCTTCATAATTGAAATCATTTCTGTTAAACTCCTTATTTAATACTGCTCCATTATTTTTCATATCATCTATTTCCATGTGAACATAAATATTATTTTCATTAATATTAACAACTTTTTGTATTCTGCCATATGTCATTGGATGTAGAGAACTTTGGAAATGATACTTTATAAATTTAAATTCAGTAGGTTCATAAGGTCCAAATTTTAATCGACTTGATCCTTCTGTTGTTGGTTTAATAGAAGTAGCAATAGATTGTGTAGACCCAAGATTGAATAATGTAGTGCATTTAATATGATCAGAAAGTGGACACAAATGAGTTGTAAAAAGGAATTTATACTTTTCTGATAAACTACGTTCTTTTGGATAATTTTCAAGAGCATCAATATGAAGGTATTTACATGTGAATTTATTTTTTTGTTGATCTGGTAAATCAACAATAACTTCAATTGTTTTATTTTCAGGTTTAGCAACTACTTCAAACTGTAATTCTTTGTCATTTTCAATACATGTGAATTGAGTCATTTGAAGTGACTCATTTAATGGAAGAGTAAAATGGTATTGTTTTAGTTGTTCGCCTTCAACAAAAAATTCCATTGTTCTTTTAGGAAATGGTGTAAAATCAATGTTAACCTCAACTTGATTTTTGGTGATTGTTGCATGACAACAATAAACAATAAAAAGAAGAAGAATAACACCAACCATCGGTTGACTTTGTTTTTTGATTCATCTTTTCAAGTTCTGATTTTAATTATTCTTTATTTTTTCAAAAAAGATATCAATTGTTATATATAACGATAAATTAATGATTCTTCGAGAAGAAACAATTAAAATAAAACCAGAAAAATCAAATAATATTTCGTATAATAAAATAAACTATTAGAATAGTTTAATGAATGAAAATAATTTGAAGAGAGAAAGAAGAAACAATCAAAAAATAGTTGCTAAATCCCGAGATTATAGTAAAGAATCTATATAAAAATATCTCTTTAATTGTTGAAAAAAGAAATAATACAAAATATATTTTTGCTCTTTCTCTTTTTCATAAAAATTAACTATAAAATGAATAAGTAACACAGCAATTATTCAGAATCTCCTTCTTCTTCTTCTTCTTCCTCAGAAGCTTGTTTTTTACCAGTGTATTTTTCCATATCTTTTTTGTATTGTTCTCTAGCAGCATCAGCTTTAGCTTGATATTCCTTCTTTTCTTCTTCTCCAAGAGCTTTCCATTGTTCAGATGCAACTTTGGAAATTTCTGTAAATTTAATGTCTGGGTGTTCTTCCTTAATAGAAGCTCTGTGTTCATTTAGGTACAGAAAATAAGCTGATTGAGGTTTTTTTGGTCTATTTGGATCCTTTTTAGCCTTTTTGTCTTTAGTATTTTTAGCCTTAGAAGTTTTAGTGTTTCCCTTTGGCATTCAAATTAAATGAATACTTTTCTCTGTTCACCCTTTATATATTTCCTTCTTTTTTTTTTCTCTTTTCACTCTTAATGAAAAAAAAACCATGAACAAAATTAAAGGGAAATAGTAGTTCAAAAACCCCTTCATTTTTTCATGTCTAATTTCTTTACTGTTTTTTTTATTAATTCATCTAGTTTCTTTTTTTCTCTTTTACCTCTTCTCGATGCAATCTCATATTTAAAGGTTCTATTTTTATGAATTCTTCCCCCTTATTCTACCTAACATAATTAAACCTTCATTCTTTATCCTTTTCCCTCCTTTTCGACCCTCTTCTTATCTTCTTTCTTAAAATTTAATTTGAAAACTTTGAGTTATTAATTTAAGCACCTTTTTCAGAACAAAAACAAACATTTAAAGAGTATTACTCCTTTATAGAAGATATGTGTGCTGTTTCTATTTTATCTTTTATACTGACAATAACTTTTTCTTGAAATCAATTTGTCCCTACCTAGAAAGTAAGATTTCTTTTCATTTTAGAACTTTTTTCTTGTCCTTTCTTTTCAAATGGTCATTGTTGGTTTAAGTAATATTTAAGTTATCATAACATCAGAAAATAATTTATTGTTGTTATGAAACCACTATCAATGATGCCAAAATCAGTAAAGATTGAGTATTGTAAAAAAATGGGAGTGATATTACCAGAGATGAGGAACAGAATGAAAGTTGAACAAGAAATCCGAGAGTTACAACGTACTACAAATATGCTTATTCCGTCAGGCACTTTTAATAAATGTGTTCGTAAAGTTATTAATGAGTATACAACGAAATTGTTTAGAATAGAAAAAGATGCAAATTTAGCACTCCAACAAGCGGCAGAAAGTTTTTTAGTTTCTCTCTTTCAAGAAGCAGAGATGATGGCTCGTCATTGCAAGCGAGTGACTATTCTCGAGAAAGATATGTTATTGGCAATGAGATTGAAATCAATTTAATTTTAAACATTTTAGGAAGTTGTTGAAATTTTATAAAAGAAAAAAATTACTATATTTAAATGTAAAATATATTAAAAACAAAACTAAATTAAATTTGTGAAAATGAAAAAGAAAACCCTGGTGGTAAAATCATTGAATGGAAGAAACAAGAAAACGCCATCTTGAAGATGATATTTTTCTACCAACATTAAAAAAACGAGTTATTGATATTAAAGTAGAAAGTGTTGATGCAAAGTCTAAAGTCTCTGAAAAACCCTGTGTTATAGAAATAGGTATTTTACCACCAGCACCTGAACTAGAAGAGTTAGAATTTTCATTAAAAAAGGGTTCGGATGGAGTTTATGTTTGTTTTTGCCAATTTTATATTGATTTAATTCTGAATCCTCTGTCAATACAATAAAGTAATTCTAAGAATACAGAAGACTTATTTTCTAGAAAATTCGTGGTTCAATGGGAGAAACATTACAATACAAACAAATAGAAGATAGAACTGATTATATGAAATACGGTATTGGTATTCGTAAAAAGGGATCAACAACAATTGAAATTATTCCAGTAGAACATTTTAATCTTCGACATGAGATTGGAGATGCTGAAATTGTTCGTTCTGAACCTGGAACATATTTAGAACAAAAGTTAGATTTAAATAATAGTTTTGGTACTTCAAGACATGCAGTTAATAAGGTCTTGAGAGGAAGAATGGAAGAAGTTGTTGGAACACATGATATTGAAAGAGAGGCTATTGTCCCAGGAGAAAAAGGAGAAAAGAAAGATCTTCTTAATCCAAAAGACTTTCCTGATATTCCACCATTTGATCCAGCTACAACTGAAGTATCAGAAATATTCTCACTTGACACTCTAATGACACCAGATGAGAAGACTTATTATTCTAATTGTGCACGTGATGTCAGAAATAAACTTAAAGCTAAAGACCCTATCAAAATAAATGAAGTAATGAACATTCTAAAAACAACTAAACTTGGAGCAACATTTGTTCCATTACTTTCTCAAATGGAAAAAGTAAGGTTGTTGACTGTTGTTAGTTTATTAGAACTTTATCGTTCTCTTAAAGTTCTCTTTGTTAAAGGTACTCATATAAAGTCAGAAAGTAATGCAAAAAAAGTTGCATCTGAAAATTGGATTGATGAAACAGTTTTTGTTGGGTTATGTGATAGATTCTTAGATAGTATTACTGATACTGAAGCTAAGAAATACATTTATTCTAATTTAAATAAAATGTTAATAACTAATACTGCCATTGTGATTGCTTTACATATTTGTAATTTTTCTATTCCCATGGTATACGTTAAAACAATTGGTGTCGATTTTCTAATGGTTGATACAATTACTAAAAGACATCTTATTCGTATAGGATGTATAAAAGAGTCTAAGGCAAATGGAGGATCTAGAAAAGAAGAATGTTATACATTGAAAGCACCAATTAAGATTGTTTCAGAACAAAAACGTAAGAAAGCTTCTCAGAAAAAAGTATTTTGAGATGATTGTGACTGAAATAACGAGTGTTTAAGATTTTTGTTGGTTTCTTTTTTTTTAAAATTGAAACAAGGTAGTCTCAATAACAAAAAAAGAAATAAAAGAAGAAGGAAACATCAAAGAAGATGAAAAGAAAAATAGAACTTGAAGACATAACATTTATGAAGAAATTATTTGAATTGCAACAAAATGAAAAGGCTTATAATAAGTTACTTTTTGTTGACGCTCCTGTAGTAAAAGAAAAATACCACCCACCTAATTTACATTTAACAATTAAAGTTATTTGTATTGATGGTGAACTTATTATTGATAAAGAAATATGTGATACAGTAAAAGGATTATTATTAAATGAATTCAATAAGTTTAATGAAGAAGATGACAAATTTATATTTTTGAGAAAACCAAGGTTTGTTGTTCAATCATTATTACGACCATATATACAGAAATGTAATACTAAGCCATTATTTATATTTAAAAGTACTTCAGAAGAACAACTAAATTTATTACTTGATGGGTATTATGAGTTGCAGATGATTAATAAAACTTTTATTCATGAACTTATTGATTGGATGAGTGTTAATGATAAATACCAAATACCCATTGACATTGAACAGTATATTGTTTCACAATTTGATGTATTTAACCCACAAGATGTATCAGCATTAGCATTTTTATATTCTAAATTACAACAAACTGTATTAAGAAGATATTGTTTTGAATCATATATTATGAAAAATGGTATTTCGTCAACAAGAAATCAACTAAAAGAAAGTGTTGGTTCCTTAACAGCATTTGTTGTTTCAAAGATTTTAGAAGGTGTTTCATTATTTCCTGCTGTGTTAACAGAGATTCTATCTGGAGATCTAAAAGAAAATGAATTATTTGATGTATTACAATCTTGTCTTCATTTAGTTCAATATGAACAAAAGAGAAAGGATTTTGTTTTAAGAAATAATTTAACTCTCCTTCAAAATAAGGTTACTTCTCTTCAAACAAAATCAAATGATATTATTATGCTTTTCCTTCATACATTTTCTCTTTGTAGTCAAGAAACAGAAGCACAATCAGAATTATGGAATAATGGATTATATCAAACTGCAGTTACTTTAGCAAATAATAGTGGAGATGATTGTATGATTTATATATGTATTGCATCATTGGGAGCATACTGTGGTACAGTAGAACATAATGTTAATGTTATCAAAGCTGGATTTCATCAATTTATTATGCAACATATTCAAAGTACTACAAAAGAATTTAGAGAAGCAACTTCACTGGTTGCAACAGAAACATTAATTAAACTATTCACAACAAATCTTATTTCTAAAGAAGAAAAGGAAGGTTTTGTTGAAAATTTACTTGACTTTATTGATGAAAGTCTTTATATCCCAGCTATAGTGAATGGGCTTCAATTAATTAAGACACTTGTTAATGATAATGCACATAATCTTTTGTTAGCAAAACGATGGTTTTCATTATCAAGATTAGTTATGAGATATAACTCAGAAAAAGCAATAATTGTTGGAGTATTTAAAATTTGTGTCAATAGATATAGAGAAACAACTCAAGGTATTGATCCAGAAGAAATGTCAGTGTATATTGGAGTATGTTTAGACCATATTGATGATGAAGAAATTATTAGTAGTGCATTAATATTTTTCGAAATAATTACTAATAATAAAGAATGGTGTGGACTTGCAGTGAAGAATGGTTTACAACTTGTAATAAGTGAAATTATCAAGAGGTATCAAAAGAATGAAATGATAGAAGTTTGTTCAACAACTTTATTGGTTAATATAATTCAAAATAACTTTGGAATACTTGAATTTTATTCAATGCAATTACCTGATGTATTATGTCAAGTTATGAATACTTACCAACATAATTCATTAATTCAAGACCAATGTGGAACGGTATTAGTTTATCTTCTAGATGCTAATCCAAACAAAGATGAGTTACTTAAATGGGCAACAGTATGTTATAAAGCAGCACTTGAATTTGTTGGTAATTCATCGATTCAATGTAATTCATTAACACTAACATGCCAATACCTTCAGATAACTAATGATATTGATACTTTTAATAAGAATGGATGGATTGATATTTTTGAAGTAACATTGAAAAATTTTACCTGTGATCTAGATATTCAATACCATGGTATAAAATTATTGTTGTATTTATTAAAACACCAAAGCTATTCTTCTGAAGTAGAGTTAATGAATTATTTTTCTATTACTGTTATTAGATGTTCATCTTGTAAAGAAATATTAGAAGGTGTTTGTGATTGTATATTGCAGTTGATATCCCCATTAAATAATGATTGGAAGAAAAATTTAACATTTCTTAAAACTCAACCATTGTTACCAAACCTAGAAAAATTCTCATCGTTATATAACAATGATATTCCTTTGGCATTGAGATATAATTCATTACTTATTTATAACCAACAAATAAACTCAGGAGAAGAAAATACTGTTGCTTCTACTTACCATTTTATACTTAACGAATATATCAATTCAATTTATCAAAATGATTACATTCTCAATGCTTCACAAGAGGCACAGAGTGTTAGTAGTTTCTTGAAACTAATTTCAAATTTTGATTTTGATGAAGATTCAATACAATGCACTATTGCTGCTATGGCAATTCTCTCAAACACAAAAGATTTTTTTAAAGAGGCATACAATTATTATAAAATGGTTGCAAATCATTTTTTTAAAACAGATAATATATTAACAAGAAAGTACTCAACACTCTTTTTTGCCCTTCTCCCTGAATCATTATATGACGTTGATGCAATATCTAATTACGCTGAAGCAGTGACAAGCTCTTTACTTACTAATTTCCAAATAGCTGAAAATGAAATAGATATCGTATATATCACATTTGTTTCAATTAACCGTATTATAAAGAAGGTTCGTATTTGTCGTTCAGTTGTTTATCAATTTAATGCAATGAAAACAATCAATAAATTAGTAGATAAATTTAAAGCAAATTTTACTCTTGAAATGTCCAAAGAAGCTGATTTATTACTTAAACAGATTCAATAAAAACAATATTTTACATCTCATTTGCCATTATTTTTATTTTGTCATTTAAGATTAAATAACACTTTGTTGTTTTTCTTTTAAGAATTACACCACGATATTAAATCTTTCATTTCAATGAAAGAAGTGTTTAATTAAAAAATAACAATTAGTAGTAATTTTAATAAAGACACAAATTCAACTTTTGTTAAAAAAAAATTACTTATTAATATAAATAACTAATACAATAATCTTAGCCAGTTAGATTTCTTTTTTTGTGAGTTAATAGGAGAAGATTTATAGATTCTTTGAGAAAAAATATAATTTAATATTCTAGTAATTTCTGATTGTCTTATTAAGGTAATTTATAAACTAAATTTTATTTGTATTACAGAAGAGGGTATCAACAAAATTATTAATTTTGTTCATAAATAAAGAAAATATTTTAATAAGAATCAAGACTTTATTTTGTAAATGAGATAATGATTGTTTTCATAAAAAGGTTGTAGCATTTATTCAGTTATTGAAACGTCATATGACTTCATATTTTTTGGGGTATTTATACGTTATGAGTAATTTTGATACTTCACCTTATGTTATTTGACTCTGTTAAAACCTAGTTTAGTGAAGTTTGTGCTTTTAAAATATCAACAAAGCCATATACTAAAAATAAATTTTATTAAAAATAAAGCATTGAAGTATTTAATTCCTTTTTAAAGACAATGATTATAATCTTGAATTTAAAGAATAATCAACATAAAAAGAAATTATAAACAGTTGAAAATACTTTGTTTCTGAAAAGAATTATTACAATAATTTATTAAAAAAAAATCATAATCTAGTTAATATATTTTTTGATGTAACTTTTTTGTAAGAAGTTGTCCTTTCATTTAATGAAATTTCAAATAGTTTAAGATATTATGTATTGTTTTTTTTTTTTTCGTAGTGAAACTTGTACCCTTAAATAAAAAAAAAGACGACAAGAAATAATTCTATTGTTGAAAACAATAACTGAATTTTGGTCATACTAATTTATTCTTCCTAAAGAGGAGTTTTATGAATTCATATGTGGTGAAGTAACCTCTGAAGAAGAAACTTCTGAATAGTTTTTGTGAGGATTGATACATTAAACAATAAGTAATTATTGGCTATCTCTTTTTCTTTAAAAAAGGATAAGTACCATTTTGAGGGATGAATAGGTCAATTCTTTATTGACAAATTAATTTAAAAAGAAGGTATGACTATTTAATATCATTGTAAGACACCTACTAACCAACAATGAATCCAAGTTCTGGTAATTACAGAGATAAGAGAAATTATAAAATTGCATTAGAAAGTGTTTTAATTGCATTATTGAATAGACATTTTGAAATTGTATTAAGAAAACCAAAATCAAAATCAACAACCACATTATCTTATATTGAAATTGAATCAATAAAAAGAAATAATGATATTTTACAAATAAATACCTTTGTTGAAGAAAGAATAAAGACACTTATTGAAGAACAAGTTAAAAAAGGATATAAGTACTCAACAATTATATCAAAGTCAAGAAGAATGAAACTTGAAGAAACAAATAGTTTGTTAGTTGATCTTCTAACAGAAGAAGGATATTTATTTATTAACAAAACGATTATGAAAGGTACAGTAATAGTCGATAAAATAAGATATTTAGAATCTTTTTCTATTTCTTATGGTGATATTATTTTAATTGGGAAACAAATCAATGAATGGATTATTTCTAAATTAACAAGTGAACAATCAATTGTACTACCTTTGAATAACAAAATACTATCAATATTTTTAAAAAAATATTTTAATCAGCAATGATTTTTATTTTTAAAACTAAAAAAAAACTAATAATATTCATTTGTTACTTAATGGATAATGCTATACAAAATTTGTGCTTATTCAATTTCCGGGAAGAAATCAATCAGGCTTTATTAAAAGGACAACCAGAAAGTGTTTTGGAACAAATTATATTAAAATATATTGATGAATATAGAAAATCAGAAAAAAATAACACAGAAAAAGAAGAACCAGAAGAATGTGGTATTTGCTTCGGTGAAATAGATAATTGTTATACTATTCCTGGGTGTGGACATAAATTCTGTTTTAGTTGTGTTCAAGAAACCGTTGAACAAGCACTTAATGATAATAATGTAGAAGTTCATTGTCCACAAGCTGGATGTAATTCAAAAATACCAACTTCAGAGTTATATGCTAAATTCTTTACGCCAGAAATGTGTAGTAGATTTACAGAGAATTCAAGAAGAGTATTTCTAATGGCACAAAAAAATTGTAAGTTCTGTCCTAAATGTGAAGCAGGGTTATTAATGACAGATAACAAATTAAAAGTACAATGTCCTATTTGTAATACCTACTTTTGTACTAATTGTTTATGTGAATATCATGAAGGTAGTACTTGCGAACAATATCAAAAATGGAAAGCTGAAAATGATAAAGCAGATGAAATGTTCAAAGAATTTCTTAAAACACATGGAGAATGCCCAGAATGTCATATGGCATGTGAACGTATCAGTGGATGTAATTATATTAAATGTGTTTGTGGGTGTGGGTATTGTTATAAATGTCATAAAAAAGTTAAACATTTTTCTCCACACATTTTACAGGCTAATTGTTCTCTTTCAGGTGAAGGTCGTGATTAGAGAGATTAATTACAAAGTTAACTTGTTGATAATAGAAAACTGTTTTAAGTATTATCTTTTTTCTTTTGAAAAGAAAAAATAAATAGGAAATTTCCAAGAAAGTCCAAAATTCTCTTTTTCATCAACTCTAAACTAATAATTTATATCATTCAATGAGTTCTTTACTCAAACTCTCTAGTACTAGTCTTAAGCCTAAATCAGTTGAGTCACAACAACTATACGCATATTCTGAAATTATTAATCATGCATTACATTATGAGAAACCAATAATAAATGATATTCTTAAAGACTTACAAGATGGTATTATCCTTTCAAGATATCTTCAGATTGAAACAGGAAAAGTAATCCCAAATATCATCAAAACTCCAATCACACAAAAAGATAAAGAAAATAATTTAAGTTTAATTCTTGAATTCATTAAAAATCAAAACATAAAAGTTACTACTACTGTTCAAGACATACTGAATGGGGAACCTAAACCAATAATTACTCTCATGTTTTATTTAATGTATAGATTTAGATTAAATGATACTCCAGTTAGAATTATTGATTTCTCTAAATGGATTAAATGTATATTAAAAATTAATAATCCTTTATTTGACTTAAAAACTGAATTTTCTGATGGTATTCTTTTTGCAAGAATATTAAATTATTATAAACCAAATATTATTGCTTATAATACTCTTACTAGAGATAAAATTAAAACAGTTTCTACTTGTTTACAATTAGCTAAAAGTCAATTAAATATTCCTATTTTATTAAGTGCACAGGCTGTTGGAGCAAATCAATTAGATGACAATTCATTAGTTCTTTATTTATCATATTTTATTATAAAAGATAATAGATTTGGACCAAATGATATGAAAGTAGCAGAAAAAATCTTTCTCGGGAGAAGAGAAAGAACTAAGGAAGTAAGGAGAGCTAAAAGAGATGAACTAGTTGAAGAATTAGAAAAGTTAATGGATATTTGTCGTAAGAATACTGATGAAATTGTTAAAGATAAAATAGAAAAACTACGAATTAATGTAGCAAATATGATGGAAGGATTAGAGATGGTTGAAGTAGAAGAAGATGAATTTGATGAAATGGATAATGATATGATAATTCAAGAATTAAATATTCATAAGGGAAAAGTAGATAATATGATGCTTGAAGCAATGGAATTAGTTAAAGAAGAGTCAAGTACTCCAATAGAAATTAAGGGAGAAGATTCACAAACTCTTGAAGAATTAAGAGTTCAAATAAAACAAAAAATTGAAAAGATAGAAGAATTAGAAAAACTTGTTTCAGTAATGAAAGAAAAAAAAGAAGAGGCAGAAAAAGCTGAAAGAGAAATGAGAATGAAATGTCAAAATGAAAGTACCTTAATGGGAATTATAGAAGAATTTGAAAAAAGTGTAAAAGAACTTAATGATAGAATCAAAGAAAAGAATCAACAAATCGATGATTATGAAAAAACTATTGAAGAAAATAAAGAAGATTTTGAAGCAAAAGAATTAGTAATTCAACAATTAAAGGATGAAATTATTCAATTAACAAATACTGAACAAAAATTAAAAGAAGAAGTATCAGCTAAAGAAAAAGAGTTTCAAGAACAAATTAAAGAAGTTAAAGAACAAAGTCAACAACAAAATATTATTCAAATAAAAGAACAAGAAATAATTGATATTAAGAAAAAGAATGAAGAAGCAATACAATTAATTCAAAAAGAAATGGAAAAAGAAAGAAATGAATTAAGTGTTAAAATAAAAGAATTAGAAGATATAGTTTCAGGAAAAGAAGAAGAAATAAATAAAATAAAAGAAGTGAATGATTATAAAGAAAAAGAAATACAACGGATAAATGAAAAAATGAATAAAGAAACAGAAAGAAATAATAAAACATTACAAGAACTAAACAAAATAAAAGAAGAAAATAATGAATATAAAAATCAAATCAATTCATTAGAAATTGAAATTAAAATAAAAGAAGAAGAAAAAGAAACTACAGAATTAGAATTAAAAGAAAATAAAAAAAATATTCAAGAATTAAAAGAACTTAAGGAACAAGAGCAAATTAATAAAGAAAAAAAAGAAAAAGAGATTAAAGAGTTACAAAGTATTATTGAAGAATGGAAAGTAAAAGAGAAAGAATGGAAAGAACAATTAGAAAAGAGTCAAAAAGAAAAAGAAGAAAGTGAAGAAAATAATAATCGAATGAAGAAAACAATTGAAAAGAAAGAAGAAGAGGTTAAAAGTCTTAATCAAGAAATTGAAAAAATAAATAAAGAAAATGAAACTATGAAAGAAAAAGTGAAAGAATTAGAACGAATAAAAGGAGAGATTGAAGTTTTAAAAATAAAAGAAAGTGGTGATTCAAATGAATATGAAAGAATTATTGAAGAACTAAAAAAAGAAATAGAAACTATTAAAAATGATAATGAAAAAGAAAGAAAAACAAATGAAATTGAACAAAAAAAAAAGAATGAAGAATTCATTCAAAAAGAGGAAGAATTAAATAACAATATTGAAAAGAAAAAGAAAGAAATTGAGAAACTCAATAGACAAATAGAAGAATTAAAACAAAATAATAAAAAGAGTGAACAAGAAAATTTAGAAAAACAAAAACAAATTGATCAACTAAATTTAGACAAAGAAAAAATAATGAAAGAATTAGAAACATCAATAATAGAAAAGAATCAAATCGAAGAAGAAATAAAGAAAGAAAAAGAAAGAAATGAAAAGAAAATAAATGATATCATCACTTCAAAAGATAATAAAATCAACGAATTAAATAAGAGTATTACTGGACTTAAAGAAGAGTTGAATAAAAAAGAAAATAGTCTCAATAAAATTAATCAAGAGTTAACTGATCAAATTCTTCAAAAAGAAGAAATTATTAATACTACAATAAAAGAAAATGAAAACTTAAAAAAAGTAAAAGAAGAAATTGAAAAGAAAACAGAAAAAGAAATTAATGAATTACAAATAAAAATTAAAGAAAACGATGAAAAAATAAATGAGATTAATAAGGAAAAAGAGGTTATTCAAAAAGAATTTGAAACAGAACTTGATAAGAAAAAAAATGAATTAAATGAAATAAAAGAAAAGAGTGAAAAAGAATTAAGTGAAGTAAAAGCACAAATAGAAGAAATGAAAAAAGAAAATACTCAACTAGAAGATTTGAAAAAAAAATTAGAAAGTGAAAATGAGATAATAAAAAAAGAAAATAAAACGAAAGAAGAAGAAAATAAAGAAATGGGATATTTAATTAAAGAAAATGAAAAGAAAATTGAGTCAATCAAAAGTGAATTTAATAGTAAAGAAAGAGAACTTGGAACAAAAATAAAATTAATTGAAATGGTTAAAAATGAAAAAGATATTATGGAAAAAGATTTTAAAAAAGAAATAGACAATAAAAACATTGAAATTAAGCGACTCCAAAATGATATTGAAAAGAAAAAAAATGATATTGCTTTAATTATTCAAAAAAATGATGAAGACAAAAAGAAAAGTACTGAAGATAAAAAGAATTTAAATCAAGAAATTGAAAAAATAAAATCTGAAAAAGATGATATTCAAAAAGAAAAAGAACAAATTCTTTTAGAAAAAGAAGATTTAAAATCAGATTTTAATAAATTAAAAATTCAAATGGAAAATGAAAAAATACAAATAAAAGAAGAACATGAAAATAATGTAAAAAATTTACAAAATGAAATAAATGAAAAAATAAATCAAAATAATGAAATTAAATTAACAGTTGAACAGTTAAATAAACAGATAGATGAATTAAAACAACAACTAGATGAAACTCAAAAAGAAAAAGAAGAAGAAACAAAAAAGTATGAAGAGGTTAAAGGACAAATTGATAATGCACATCAACAAGTTGAGAGTATTAAAAAAGAAACAGAAAAACAAATTAATCAAATGAAAAAAGAATGTGATGAAATGCAAAAAATATCATATGAAGCAAAAGAAGAATTAAGAGTTCAAGTAGAAAGTGTAAAAATGATAGAAACAAAAGTTTCTACACAAAAAGCATCAAACACTAAATTAAAAAAAAAGGTAGAAGAATTAGAACGAACTATAGAAAAATTAAAAAATGAAAGAGATGAAAAAGAAGCATTTTGGGAAAAGAAAAAAATGTGGTTGATTGAAGATGAAGAAGATAAAAAAGTGTTATTTAATAGTCTTGCTTTAGGAATTAAAATGGTAATGCCAAAAGAAGTTTTAAAAATTGATAATACAATGTTGTATAATGAATGTAAAAGTAAAAATGTTCCAATCAAAGATTGGTATTCTTGGTTGTTAGAAACATTAAGTCAGAAAATGATGTGATAGTTAACTATTTTATTAATTATCTTCATTTTTTTTAGCTTAAAAAAAAAGACTCACTAATAAAAACGTCAATAGATTTAATAAACATTAATAACTTAAATCTTATTCATTAATTTAAATTTTAAAGTATTCCTTTTTTATTCTTTTTTTTTTAACTAATAGATATATTAACCCGAAAACATATTTATTAAATAAATATTATTCAATTGGCTCATTATTATTTTATTACACTAAATAACTCCTCTTTATTTTAGAGATAATTACTATAAAATTAGTGTTAAATAAAAAGTTTTCGCATTATATCTTAAATAAACTTCAACCAAAAACAAAATGGTTAATGTATTATTTACACATTAAGCTCACAACTTTTTCGGTTGTAATTAAATAATAATTGCTATATTTTAAGAAACTTTATCTTTTAACAAATAAAAACATTTCTTTAATAATCTAAATATATTTTCAATAAAAACGTTATATATAACATAATAATTAAAAAGAAAAAATAAATGAAGATTAAGAGAAATATGAACTTAAAAAAAATATAAAATTCAGAATACATATGTCCCTTGACAATGCTATTATTGTAGCTGAAGAAGCAATTAATTTTGATAACCTTGAAGATGATTACAATGCTATATTAAAATACAAAGAAGCTATTGAATATTTAAAACTTGCTCATTCTGATCCTTCAAATGCTGAAAGTTATTCAGTGATATTAGATAAAGTAATGGAATACAATGAACGTGTTAATTATCTGGCTGGACTTCATCCTGGAGATATTAAATTTGAAGAATTAATGAAAACACCAGTTATACTTGACCAACCTTCTTCTAACAATATTCCTACTCCTACTCCAGTGATAGAAGAACCCAAACTAGTTCAAGAATCTAAACCAATTATTACTCAACCAATTGAACAACCTCAACCAATTGAACAGCCCCAACCAATTGAACAACCTCAACCAATTGAACAACCTCAACCAATTGAACAACCTCAACCAATTGAACAACCTCAACCAATTGAACAACCTCAACCACAAAATATTGAGCTAATAACAAACCGACAAATAGAAAAACCACAAGAAATTATTAAACCAATATTCCCCGATCCATCTAAGTCCATTGAAGAAAAGAAAGAAAGTATTGTTATTGAACAACGAGAAGAACAGCAAAACAAGCCAAAGGCATTAGTTGGTGCAGTTAAAGTTATGCCCACAATTGATAGTCCTCAACAACAGCCTATAAATATTAAAATGAGCCAACCTGAAGAAAAACAAACCCAACCAATATTTAGTATTGCACAGTCAACACCTGTGCCAACAACTGGAACCGCACCAGTAATGATGCCAATGACGCAACCAGTCATGAATCCTATGATGGCATCAGTGAATGGTTATCTACCTGTCATAACTCCACAAGGACCAATGTTAATGCCAGTAACTCAACCACCATCACTCCAACAATCACAACAACCAGTGTTTCCACATTTTGGAACAGAGTCAAGTTCTTCTTTAATAGGAGGACCAATTACACCAATCACCTCTGCACCAATTCAAAGTGTACAAGAACAAAAACCTAAAGTACCAAAACAGTCAACCACGGCATCAAGAACTGCACTCATTAGATCAAAGTTAAGTCTTGAACATCCATCAACATTAAATGGATTAAAAGCATGGAAACTGGCCAAACCATTAGCAGAAAAAGGAAAAGAATTTGATAGTCAGACCAAATATGCAGATGCTCTTGCATATTATGAAACTTCATTAGATTATTTTGCACAAGCATTAAGAGCACCTGAACTTACTGATAGTATGAAAAAACAATTAAAAGAAGAAGTAAAAGCATATCTTACAAGAGCAGAACAAATTAAACCTGTTGTAGTTGAATTTCTTAAACAAAATCCAACATATTTTGGAGAGACAGAAAATGAAGATGATCAACGATTAGAAACATGTATTGCATGCAATAAAAGAATTGAAGGAGAGTTTGTTAGTGCACTTGGATATAACTATCATCCACAATGTTTTGTTGCAAACGTCACATGTAAGTTATGTGGGAAACCATTCTCATTTCCTAAAATGGAATTTAAGATTTATAATGATCAAGCTTACCACCCATTATGTTTTGAAGGGGTAACTGGTCTTGAAAAAGAAGTAACTTATACTCCAACATTCCAACATGGTACTATTTTTTATAAAGTCAAGTTACCAAAGAAAATTTTTAGTGTAAATGATTCATTTATGTATGATATTACTATTGATAATTCTACTAATTGTTGTATTAATTATATTGAAACAGGATTATTATGTGAAGAGACTCGATTCTCTCGTGGATTCTCAGGTGAAATGAAAGGAGAAACAACAAAAACAGAAATGGCTAAAAAGAAAATAATGTTTGAAGGTAAAGTGATGAAGAATGGAGTTGTTACTAAAAGTGAAATGTTTTCAATAGGAATGGTTCGTCCATCACATCACAATGATATTATGTTTTATCGTGGCTATAAATTTGTTGTAAGTTTAAAAGTATCTGGAGTTGCTTTGGGACCAAAAGAAATAATCTTTCCAATATATATTAATGAATAATTTTCATTGGTATTTCATGATATTAAATTTTTGTTTTTTCTTTATTAAAAATTAATATTTGTTAAATATTTTTTTAGTAATATAGAATAAATTCTGTGTAAAATATTGAATAAGAAAAAGAAAAAAGAAAGGAGAAGATTTTCCTTAAAATAGGACTCTTTTTCTTATGTTAAATCAAAAAACTGAAGTATTAAATTAATGAAAAAATAATAAAGATAGAGAAAATCAATTACATAATTATTATGCATTATTATAATCTAATCTTTCGGGAAATTAAAATAACTTAAAAATTGATAAAAATAGGCTTTAAAATAAAAAAAAAAAAGAAATATTCTACCTGATTCTAATGCATCGCGAAGAAACCCCCAGAAATGAATTTGAACTTTATCACTTCTTTCTATATTTGGAATTCTCGATTCAGTTTCCAGAAAACAAAAGGAAAAAGAAAGGACAAATTCCTAAGAGGCAACTATCTATTTAAACCCTTGGTTAAAACTTAGTTTCGTTATAGATAATATGTCTGAATTACTTGATCTTATTCCACAAAAGAAAAAGTTATTATGCCAAGTCCCAATTATGAATTGGGATAAAGTGATGGAATTAGTTAAACAATATCATACTGTAGTCTTACCTGCTTTCTACAAAAGATTTGATGTACAATTCCAATCAGCTAAAGATTATATTGACCAATCTAATTCTCAAGAAGAAGAAGCAAAAAATGTTACTACTATTAAATTGGAAATGATATATCCTGGAAATCCAATAATTGATAATGTAGAGGAATGTCTTTCTATTGAATTAATTCATGATATTGATCTTTTAAATTGGCTAGTTAGTGATATTGATGCTGAAATTACAATTACAAAAGTAGAAAGTATAAATAATGTTATCACTATTTATGGCTCTATAATTGCAAAGAAATATGGTACTGATATTGATTTTACTATTCATTATTCTAGAATGAAAGAAGGAGAATGTAAACAACAAGTTATCCTTAATGACCAAGTTTATGGTTATGTATTTCCAATTAAGAAAAATGATGGCTCTGAATATTGGACATGTTTTGGTACTGCTTATAAAGAAATGTGTAATTACTTTGACTCTATTCCACCAGAATCATCAGATGGAGATATGAGAATTATACCATTTATCAGAACTATGAAATTAGTTAGTGATGCTATTGATCTTTCTTTTGATGATGATTTCATTGAACGATTTAATGCTAAACATAATTCAACATTACCATTAGACAAACATATTTATAAAGTATTTAGTGGTAATATTATTACTTGTAAAGATGGACTTCTTAAACCATTACAAAACTCAACAGAACCAAAGGTTCTTAAATTCCTTCAAGACACAGAATTAAAAAAATTTCTTCCAGAATATCATGGTAAAGTTGAAATTAATGATACTGTTTTTATTTCTATGGGAGATTTAACACAAGGATATACTAATCCAAAAGTTCTTGACATTAAACTTGGACAAACATGTACTATTAGTAAAATGGAACAACAACCATTTGGATTTAAAGTTATTGGAAGTATTTCTGATCCAAAGAAAACTTGTTTTTCATGGGATGATTTATATAGTGCAGTTAAAAAATATTTAAAAGATAATAAAGAAAATTTCTGTAGATATGAAGTCCTTCCTTCTTTAATTAAACAACTTAATGAACTTCTTAGTATTGCTACTACCTTTACTGGAGTACAATTTAAACAAGTTTCATTAATGCTTATCTACGATGCAATTGATAATGCCTCACAAAAACCAACAATTCATCTTCTTGATTTCCAAAAGAGTATTATTGATGATAAAGCGGGAGTTGATCATTATTTCTGTTTTGGTATTTCATCATTAATTAAATTATTACAATCTGTTCATAATTATTATACATCTAGACATTGTGTTTTCCTTTGTAGGCATGGATTTAGATTAGATTATACTGATCTTAGTTGGGTTCCAAATGCTAAATATCCACATGACCCTCCTTTGTCCACAGAAGGAATTCAACAAGCCAAAGATTTAGCTAAACGTTTAAAACATGAGAATTTAGATATTATTATAAGTTCTCCATTCTATAGAGCAACTCAGACAGCTAAATTTATTGCTGAAGAATTAGGAATTAAATATGTTGTTGAACCAGCATTTGGTGAATTTCTTTCAATTAATAATCGTAAAGCTGTTCCTGATCTTGACCCAACTCCATTAGAAGAAGACAATGCAATGGATAGAAGTTTTACTCCTTTAGGAGGAGTTCTTTCTTTAGAAACTTGGGATTCTATGCAAGAACGTGTTCATACTAGTTTAAATGCAATAACAAAAAAATATCATCGTGTGGCTATCGTATCTCATCGTTCAACTTTCCAAGCTTTACTCTCAGTAATTGTTGGGCATAAATTCAAGTATCCACTTGATTTTGCTTCTGTCACTTCAATGGTTCCAGCTAAAGGAAGTGCTGGATGGGTTATTGATAGAATCAATATGTTCTCACATCTCACCGTATTTACTGAAAGTCCTTATTATAATCCAAATTATGCTGCAAAGAATTATAATGATATGATTATTGATGATAACGGTGCTGTCCATGACTCATAACTGTGTTATCTATCTTTATTTAAATATTTTTTTTTTAAATTTAATAAATTTTTAGTTCACTAAATTATACTTGAGTTTCAACATCTGCCATAAAAGTATCTGTTTGTTTAATAATAATATCGTCATAAGCTTCTTGTTGTTGCAAATCAATCACTCCCTGTGTCTTTAAAACCAATAATTCAAAGAAACACCCAACAACAGGTTTTCTTTTCTTTCCTTGAACAAATGCTTTATATGACATTTCAGTTCTTTCTCCCATTGATCTTTTCAAGAAATTATGAATTTTAGCTGATCTTGATGTCCAACTATCAGTAACAATTTTTTGTTTAAATGGCTCTTCAGGAATAGCTACATCTTCATTATATCCTTCGTTATTTTCAAAGTTTAACGTTGGAATATCATCTTGAATAGGAAGATTTTCATCAGGAATAATATCACTAACCCTTCTTTTTTCTTCAGAACTTACTTCATCAGACATACCATCTTTATGTTTTAATGGTTTTAATGTTGAAATATGTTCTTGTACTTCCTCTAAATGTTTTTGAGCTTCTTCTTTTTGACTTGCAACATCAACTTCTTTCACAATATCTTTTTCTTGAACTTCATCTTTATTAATCATTTTGATATAATTCTTAATTCTTTCATTTGTAACTTCCCATCTTCCTCGAAGTCGTCTTCCTTCTTCTCTCAATTCATTTAAACTTCCAGGTGCTAAATCAAATTCTCTAATAATTTTATCACAATCTTTTTTTGTTTTTTCATATCTCTTAACACTAATTAATGTTGCTTTATCATAAATGATTTTTTTTTCTTTTCTTGTCTTTTTCTTTTTTTCTTTGCCTTCATCTTCTTTTGCTTTTTCTTCTCCATTATCTTCAATTAATACCTCATTTTCTTGTGGTATTTCAGCTGGTATTTCTGGTACATCTTCATTAACCATTGGTAATGGTGCTTCTGTTTCTTCCATTAAAGAAACTCCTTTCTCACTTATTTCATGAGATGGTTCTTCATTTGATACAGCAGAAATAAGTCCTGCCATAGTAGTATCAATCAAAGATTTGTCAATAGGTTGAATTAATTCAGATGGTTGAATAGATTCTGGAGCTCTTAACACAGCAGGGTCATTTAATAATTCATCTAATGTATTTAATGGAATTTCATCCATTGATCCCATAGTAACTAAATTACCGATATCTTGTTGAAGAGTAATATCTTGAGCATTTGCTGTAAAGTTCCCAGTTAAATCTCTTAAGTCATCAGCATTTAATTGTTCATCTAATTGAAGATCTAATGCTAAGTTAGCAAAATTTATTCCTTCATTAATACTACTATCTTCAGAAAAATCTCTTTGTCTTGTTGGGATAGTAATTGCTCCATGTGGTGCAACAGCTTTTTCTGCATCAACAGCACCTGGTCTGAATGATAATTTAATTTTTACTAATGCATCGTTACAGTCTTGAAGTAAATACTTTACTTTTCTTGAATAAATACGGCAAATACCTAACAATAGATGTCCACTAATTCTTAATGCTATTGGAATTTCTGGATTAGCAACTGCATTAACAGCTTCCTTTAAATCAATAGCAAGAATTTGTTGTTTAGTTAATTTACCTTCCCAATGAGCTGCAATCCAAACCTTAGCAAGTGGACCTTTTTTTGTTAAAACCACTTGTGAATAAAACATATTTTTTTATTTTAACTTTTTAAGTTATTTCTTCAATTTTAGTTCAAAAAGAGAAAAACTAATGATTTTGAAATAATCCCGAAAATTAAAAAAGGGTTTGATAGGTTTAATAATTTTTTTCTCAAAACAGAGAAAATAAAGAAAAATCATTTAAAATGTATTCGAGTTAGAAACATTAAGCATTAGAAGAATATTTTTTTAAACCCATTTAATTGCTCCAATAAATTCAACTTGGAATTTGATTTCTGAAACAAACTTAAAGTCATGTGCATTTGTATAAGCTTGATCTGGGTTAGTAATTTTACACATACCATGTTTTAGTACAAAGAAATTATGAGACCCAATAATCAGATCTTTTGATTTAGATGAATAAATGCATAAAGTTTTACTTTCATTATCCTGAAGATAAAATGCTCGTGGTTGAATACCACTAGGATTTAATAGTGAAAAAATGAAATGTTTTGGATCTTTTGTTATCATTTCACAATCATCTATTCCTTTTCCAGGTTTTAATGGAGCATTAGGAATTGGTAATGAATTAAAAGTACCAAATATACTACCATCTTTTGTAACAATGATTATCATTACATTTGGTTTATTACAGATAGCATTATTTAAATGAAGAACTTCAATTCTTCTAAAATTAGAACAACTGTAAATAACTCGTGGAGCAGTTAATCCAGTCCATTGATGTAATTGATTATAATACAATCCAATAAATCCACATTTATCTAATTCATGTAAATAAATTTCACTCCAAATAGCCTCATCCATTCTTTTAATATCTGTATAATTTATTTGTAATTCATTTAGAGTGTCATGTATATTTTTCATATCTTTTTTACATTTTTCACTTTTATCACATAAATCTCTTACGTCATTAACAATACTTCCTTTTTCTACTGTATCCATTCTTACTCTTAATTCTAATAAATCGTTATTAATTTTTTTAATAAATACTTCATCTAAATTACTTCTTCCATCATTAAATTTAACTTTTTTTAATTCTTCAATAGCATCAGAATTATTAACACAAATAATTCTATCATTATTAACTTTTTCTTCAATTGTTGTTATTTTTGTTTGAATGTTTTCAATATTTTCTTCATAACCTTTTAATTTTCCTCCAATTTTTTTAATGTCTTCTTTTAATTTATTAAATAATTTCTTTTTATCATCATCATCATTTCCTTCATCTTTTTTACTCTTTTTACTTTCTTTTTTTATATTAGCTTCAATTAATTCTGTTTTCTTGGTAATAATATCAATATTTGCATCTGTAATTTTAATTTTTTCTTCAAGTTGTTCTATTTTATTAATTTTATTTTGTAATTCTTCTATAGACTCATTCATATTTTTTTCATTTCTTTGAATATCTTTAATGACTTCTTTTATTTCATTACCTTCATTGTTTGGTTCATTTATAATACTCGGTATATCATTTGATTTCTCTTTAATACTTTTTATTTCTTCTTCTAATTCTTTTCGAACTGTTTCAACTTCTAATTTATTTACAAACACTTCATTTTTATTTTTAATTTCAGTTATATCATGTTTAATACATTCATTTTGTTTCTTTATTTCTTCATTTTCTTTTTGAATGTCTTCAATAACTTTTTTATTTTTTTCATTATTTATCTTTACCTCATCAATACTTTTAATTATTTCTTTAATATTTTCTATATTTTGTTTAATTATATCTATTTCTTCTTTTTTAACCATTTCATTAATTCTGTTTGTAACACCTTCTATTTTCTTTTCATCTTCATAAACTTTCTCTTTTAACTCCTCAACTTCTTCTTTTTTTCTTTCTTGTCCTTCAATTTTTAATGTTTCAATAGGTTGGTTTTTATTAAATTCTTCAAAACGTTCTTGAACATCTTTCTCAATTTTATTACCTTTTTCTTTTAATTCTTCAACTTTCTTATTTAATTCTTCAATGCTCTCTTTCATCGTATTAAACTCTTTGTCATTATTCTCGTTCTCAATTTTTTTATTAACTTCTTCTTCTTTCTTTACTTTTTCTGTTACACTTTGTTTGTTTTCATTAACCAATTTCTTAATGTAATCTATTTCTTGTCTTATTTCTTCTATTTGGTTTTGAGAATTACTTGTTTCTTTATTTTCATTAAATGTATTCAACTTCTCTTTTATCTCATTTTCTTTTATCTTTAATTCTTTAACTTCATCACTTAATTCCTCTATTGATTTTTTGATAGTATTGATATCATTATTTCCTTTTAATGCTATAACAACTTTACTTAACTCTTCAACCTCCTTTTTATTAACACTATTTTGTTTAATTTCTTCAATATTTTGTTGTATTAAATTAATATCTTTTAACTCAGGAATACTTTTTTTAATTTGAGTGATACTTTGATTAACTTCATTCATTTGTTTTTCTCTTTGTTCTTCAAAAGAATTAACTTTTTCTTCAAGACTTTTAATCTTCTTTTCACAACCTTCATTTTGGTTTTTCTTAATCTCTTCTATTTCTTCCTTTATTACTTTTATATTTTCTAATACATCATTTTGATTTTCATTCTTCTCAGTTTTGTTTTCAATATCTATAATTCTCTTTTGTAACTGAATTAATTCATTATTTATATCCTCTTCGTTATTACTTGATTTTATATCTTTCGTTAGTTTATCTATATCTTTTTTTGTAACAAATTCCCCCATTTGCTCTTTCAACTCTTTTACTGTTTTATTTTCTTTAATTTCTTTTAATTCTTCTTGGACTTTATTAAACTCTGATTGAGATAAATATTTATTTGTAACTTCTTCAAATACTTTCATTGAAACAAATTCATTTTGTATTTTTTGAATTTCTTCAATTTTCTTTTGAATAATTTCATTTTGTTGTTTAATTGAATTAATTTCATCACTACAAATACTTTCCTGTTTAGGGGTTTGTTCAGTTTTATCTTCTAATTTTTGAATTCTTTTATTGATATCTTTATTATCTTCTATCATATCGTCTATATCTTTTCTCATTTCTTCAAGATCTTTTTGAACTCCTCTTTGAACTTTTTCAATTAACCTATTAAGATCTTCAATTTTATTAATTGCTTCTGTAACATTTCCCTTTTGACTAGTCCCTTCTTCTTTTATTTGAGTTTCTTTCGTAGTTGGTTGAGTAGTGGCAATGCTATTTCTTAAATTTGTTTTAGGATTATTCTCTCTTTTTAAATCTTTTATGTCTTTTTTTAAATCATCAATATCATCTTCATTGAAATTCATTCTTTCTTTTAAATCATCAACATCATCCATTAAATCATCAATATCTTTTTGCATATCACTAACATTTTCATCAATCACTAGTTTTTTATCTTTTTTAGAACTCTTTTTAGCATCAAGATCTTTTAGAGTTTCTTCTAGTGCTTTCTTCTTCTCTTCTACTGCCTGTAATTTCATTGCATCTATTTCATCTCGAAATGACCTAATCTCTTTTTTTAATGCTTGTGTTCTTTGCATAACTAGAAGGTCAGAAGATTTACTATTTTCATCTAATTGTTCACTCACCCAATCAGTGGTTTTCTTTAATTTTTGTTCCATCTTTTTGTTGGCCTTTTCTAATGCGTCTATACGTTGAACTAACTGTTTGACAGTATCTTCCAAAGAATCCATAACGCTTGTATTATTTGTATAATTTTTAGTTCTTTTACACCCGAATAAATTTCTTGGAAGTTTCTGTTGATATTTTTTTAAGGTGGTTTCATTTCGAACTTTTATCTACGAATAATTCCTCACTTTTTCTTTGCTGTTCCGTCGGGAGAGAAAGGATAAACAACTGTTTTTATCTTTTCGTCATTTTCATATTTTTATATTTTTTGTGTTAAATATAACAAAAAATATTTTTAAGTTTTATAAATATGGAGTGAATTTTTTCTTTCATATTAAGAGATAAATTTTAAATGACAGAAAAATTTAGTATAATAAAAAATCACACATTACAGGTTTAAATTATCAATAATTAGAATAACCATTTCATTTAAATCTTAAAAAAAATAGATTTTATAGTCTAATAGAATAAACATTATCAATGGATACCCTTTTAAATAAAAGTTATTCATTTGATCGTCATTGCTGATGTAATAATTATTTTTATTTGAGGTTAAACTAATTTTTTTCTTTTTCTACAATGAGTATTGGAGAGGTGTTATAATTATCATGGAACTTTTTCATTTGATTATAGTCTTCGTTTAGACATCTCTTTGTTTTATTAGATTTTTTCGGTTTAAACCAGTATTGTTTTTATTGTTATTATATTTTTATAGATAATAAACATTACTAAGTCTATATTATTTATTGTGCAAGAAACTCTTTGAGAGATTATTTCTTGATTATTGATACAACATTGTTTGTATCTATATTGAATTATTTTCCATTTTTGGATAATAAAATCAATTTTTTTCATTCAATATATCATAAATAACCTTTAATTCGTTATAATATTTACTTGTATACCATTTTGATGACAATATTAACATAATAAAATCAATAACCTTTATGTTATAAATTATTACACCAATATTCTTAGTATCAGATGACAATAAAAAGTATTAGGAAATCAATAATAGATGATGAATTCAGAGGTGAAGAGAATATTACTCATCTACATTATTTTTATAAGTTATTTTCCATGTGTTTCATTTTTATTACAACTAATTAATTTACAGCATTAAATGTGGTCATACACAAAGAATATATTTTTGATGTATTATTGAAACTAAAAAATAATATATTCATTAAAGTATATATAAAATATAAAAAAGGAGATATTAAACTTTGAGGGTTGAGAATAGTTCCCTCTTGAATTTTAACAAAATTAAACATATAAAAATGAAATTAATTAAAATTTTCATGTTAGATTTAATGAATATCTTTTATCCTTTTAACTCATTAACTCCACGGAAATATCACGATATTTAAATAAAAATAATAATCATATGAAACAAAATAGATTTAAGAAGAATAATCAATGTTATAGAGGAAATAAAAAATATCAAAGAAGATTTAATACAAATTAGATAGTTCATAGATATGACCACTTTGAAAATAGGCAACAGTACAATGATAGGAACAATAAATATTAACATCAAAACTACAATTATCTTAATAGAAGATACAAACAATATCATTACAAGAACAATAACAATCAAAACAGAAAATACTGATGTAAGAGATACTACAAGAAAGAGAAAGGAAGAACAAAAGAAAGAGAAGACAAAGTAGTAATAAAGGAATGGATAAAAGAATTGAAGATATTGAAAAGTTGTAGCAAGAATAAAAAAAGAAAAAAAAAGGAAATGCAGATAAAGAAAAAGAAATACCAATGGAAAATGAAGAAAAGAGAGAAGAAATAATACAACAAGAAGTTCAAGAAACAGATGAAGAAGAAGTAAAAGAAAATATTAAGAAAGAACATTAAAAAGAAAGAATAAGAAGATAAAACAAAAGAGAAATAAATAGAAATAGAAAAATTAAGAAAAGAAGATGATGATAAGATAAAAGAAAAGATGAAAGGAAGAAATCAAGAAGAAAGACAAAGAAATAATAAGAAAAAGAAGTATACATAAGATAGAAATATAAGAAAAAGAAGAAAATATAAGGATACTGAAAAGAAATCTAGAGAAAGAAATGAATGAAATAAAAGAGAAGAAAGAAGAAGAAATTAATAACAAAAAGTAGTTAATTAAGTATTAATAGAACTTGTGTCTATTGTTCCTGCTTCACCGGAGACTAATCCCGTCCCTTCGTCTTCGTCTTGTAGTTCAACTACATATGTTTGGTTGTGGTAGAATCAGTGTTCCATGACGTCCATCATGTTTTTAATTACAAGGTTTTTAATTTCTTTAGTGATGTCAATTTCGATTTTTAATTGTTTAATTATTTTAATACTTTCCGCATTTACTAGCCCATTAATCGAAATTACTACTCCAATTATTTTGACATCATTTAATTTCTTTATTTTCATTACCCTATTTTTCAATTCTTTATACATATTTCTTTTCTTCCAATAGGCTCCATTAATATTGTGATCTGCCACAATAGTCATTCAAATATTAGACCAGTTTTATTCTTTTTATCTAGTACATATATATCTGGTCTTTTATGATATAGTCCATCACTTTTCGGCATTATTTGTTTGTTCAATATCATAGTGATGTCGTTGTATTGGAACACTGTTTCATATGTTGGTTTCTTGTATTGTTTATTTCATTTATATTTTCTTATTATCCCATATGATAATGCCAATATGGTCATGTTTTTCAATTTGTGATTTCTTATGACAAATACAAGATAGTAGAATGTGTTCTACTGTGGATATCTTGTCTTTACAAAGTGGGCAGTACTTCAATCTTTCATTTTTTAATATTTTATCTTTCCTGTACCCACTAAATATTACTCCATCTTGTATTTTAGTTAATTGGAGAAATGCATTTTTCTTTATATTGATGGACTTCCATGCATTTATTGTAGTAGTTTTATCTACCCCTTTTGACTCGAACCATCTTCTAAAATGTCAACTTGTTTGATTTCCATTTTTTGATGTATTGGTTGGTTATTAATTTCTTTATTTTTAATACTACTTCTTTTTTATTTTTATTTTCAATCCCTTCATTTATTATTTCTTCTATTTTCGTTTCTGGGATTTTATGACCTAGGACTTTTTTAATTCTATTCCATATTCCTTTCTTGGAATACCATCTATCTATTATGTTATTTCCTATTTCATTCTTGTACAATAGTACATTACTGTTCTGATTAATTCAATAACATATTCGTCCCTTAGGCTTATTAATCCTTCACCCATTTCATTTATAGGGACATATAGACGGTCTTTGGAGTTACCGGCACCAATGTATTTTGCCTTTCTTAAATATTTTCTTATCTCCAAATCCATTCTATCTAGGTCAGTTACCTTCCAATTTACTACTGATGCTGAATATCTGAAGATGGGTATTACTTCAGTATTAATTCTTGTAATATAACTTCTATTACTACATTCATCAGTATTTATCTCTTCCATTTTCATCATCATCTTTTCTTTGATGATTTTACAATTGAAGGTATCATTAATTTCATCGGACTGCCATACACCTAAATATTTATACAAGTCCTCTCCTTCAATTATTGGGATGTTTTGCATTCCATCTGGTATTTTATTAATGTTCTTTAATACCATTCCTGATTTCTTTTCATTTCCATCCCTATTCCACTTATTATTTCTTTAATTTCATTGTGGATTGTTCCCATTTCTTCACTACTTTGTGTCATTATTCTCAAATCATCCATATACAATGTATGGTTTGCTTTTGGGAACTTCTCTTCTATGATTTGAGAAATTATATTCATTTGGATGATGAAGAGTAGAGGGGATAAGGAATCACCTTGTAAAATTCCTCTCTTCAGTTTAATACATCCTAGATATTCATTATATTTATATCCTATGAATATCTTCCATCTGTTCATCATACTTTCTACAATGTCTATGATGACACCCTCTACATTAAAATATTTAAGTGCTTCTATTACCCATTCATGATTTACTGAGTCATATGCTTTCTTAATGTCATAATATGACTCTACATATTTTGGGTATTTTTCTTCTTTCTGCTGCTTTAACATATAACTGTTAATTAATCCTTCTTTATCAGCAAGAGATTGCAGTTTACATCCCAATTGATTTTTACTAATTTTTAATGATTCATTATTCATGTTAATTCTATTATGAATCTTCTCTTTTAGTATAGAGGTAAATACTTTCATTATTACATTTGTACAACTGATATGACGATAATTAGTGACATCGTTCCTATCACCTCCTTTGTGGATTAGTATAGTTCTTCCACTTACCATATCTAGAGGGATGTTTTCATTGAAGTTTAACAATTCATTGAAGATATTAAGAATGGAATCTCTTGATGATGACATTCTCTTCCAATAATACCCATATATAGTGTCAATACCTGGTGCTTTCCAATTACTTATTTTCATCAGGCTTAGATTTAAATCATCCAATGTGATGATGACACTATCATAATTTCTATATCTTTCATTCCACGAGGTGATTTGTTTTATTTTCAAATGTTCTTTATTTAATATCACATGTGTTTCATATAACGATTTCCAATATTCTAAAGTAATATCGTTATTTGGATATATTTCATTTTGTGTTTCTTCTTTATTTTAATTTTGTTATTAGAATCAAACATGATTTTATTTGTATTGATTCTGATAATTTCATTCTTATTAAATTTAATTCTTTCTTTAATCATCGTCATCATATATTTTAGGTACTTTATTCTTTCTTGTGCTTTCATTTTAATTTCATCGGCATCTTGTTCATTTAATCTCATGATGCATTTTATTCTGTACCATTTCCTTCCCTTGACTAGATCTTCTAGTCTATTTATTTTCTTTATGACTTCTTTTATTTCATCAAAATTATCTCATTTAAATTTATTTTAGAGATAATAATACATACACATTGAAATCCTTTTCATATCTTCTTGTAGATTTTCTATTCTCCTGACCATACCCATTTATTATTAATTTCTCTTATTAATTTATCTGATTCTTTCCTTTTCCAGTAGTAATTAATATTTACACATTTATCTATTTTCATTCCTTTAACTTGAGTGATGATAGAGTTAAGATATTCATCATCAATATCAGTAGAGTTATTTTTTATGATAATGTTTTTTATTATTGGATTACACTCTACTTTCCCTTCTATGATGGTTCATTTTCATTTTAATATATCTTTTAGTTGTTTCTTTTATTTTATGAGATATTTTAATATTGTTAATGTATTCTTTATCATTATTTACATTATTATTTATTACTTTTATTATGTTTTCTATTTGTTCCCATCTTAATTTCTTATTTAATTTATTATTTAACAAATTAATTGCAAAACAATACAACACATCAATTAAAATTCTATTTGTTTGATTTGTTGTGTTTTCTTCTCTTCTTGACTGATTATTATTTCTTGTTTTTTGACACTCAGTGTTTTGCTCCCTTCTTCTTCTATTTCCAGAATTGTCTTTTTCATAGGGGTAGTTTGGTTCATTTGTATTGTCCCAGATGATGATGTTCTCAGTATTGGTTGTGTATTTATCACTAGAGTCACTGTTTTCTTCTTCTCCAGTTCCTTCTGGGATAAAAAATTTTCGATATTTTCTTGTTGCTTTGATATTAATTGTTTTTGTTCTTCATTTTCTCTTTGTGTATGGTCTAATTCTTCTTTTGTTTTTTCTGCAATCTCATAGTTTTGAATCGCACTTTTTTGATATACAGAGATTTGATTTTCTTTATCTCTTATGTTCTTCTCCAGCTTATCAGCCCTCTTCTTCTCCAGCTCACCACCTTTAAGAACCTCGTCCGTCTCCTTCTTCAGCTTCTCACAGCTAGCTCGGTGCGTGAGGATGGTTTCATCCTTACCTCCTACTTCTATGATCCTTCTACTATTTGTTTCATTTATTTTTCATTGTAATGTCTTGTTTTCCTCTTTTAATTTAGAGTTTTCTTATTTCATCATATGTTGTTTGAATATTGTTTATTTGTGTTTTCATTTTTTCTATTTCTTCTTCAAACTCTTTCCTGACTGTTTCTCGTGTTTTTTGAATCATTTCATTTGAGATGGTTCGTTCTTATTCGTTCTTTTTTGTTTGAAGTTCTTTGATAGTTTCTTCTAACTCTTTAATTTTATTTTGAAGTGTGTTAATTTCTTCTTTGTTGCCTTCTTCTTCCATTTTCTCTTCTTTATCTTGTGTTTTCCCTTTATTTTCTTTTTCATTTATTATTCTTGCATATTTACATCTATCGTTCATTTCTTTGATTGGGTTTTTGTGTTTGATTTCTTCTTCAATTGTTTTAATATCTTCACTTTTCCAATCTTTTGTTTTATCTTTGATTTCTTCTTTGATTTTCTCTAGTGTTTTCTTCTTTCTTATTGAATATACTTCTTGGAGAATATTATACTATTTCTTTTCTTTACCTTCTTATTTTTTATGTAATTCTGATTATTCTCCTTTTTCCCATTTTCTTGTTATTCTTTTAATTTTCATTTTAATTTCATTTGTTGTCAACCATTTAGGTTTCTTATTTGTATAATGTTTATTACCATTATACTTGCCTTGTTTTTTATTTGTTTTTATTTGTATTCTTCTTTTTCTATTCACTTTTTTCCTGTTATTTCTTTTATCATAATTATTATGCATTTTATTGTTATTTCATTCTTTCTTTTCTTTGAACTTGAATACCCGTGTCTTGTTTGATTTTCTTTACAAGACTCTATGGTATTACTCAATAGCCATTGCAACAAAATTTGTTGTATATTCTGCATTGATAAAAGGATCTTTATTTTTTTTAAGAATAAAATAATAAAAATTAAATTATTTTATTAATTCAAAATATTTTACCCCTTTAATTTTGTAAATCTACAATACTTCTTTTACTAAGTGTGTTATCAAAACCACAGTTATTTAAACATCTTTTATTTCATTTATCTATTCATTGGGTATACAAACAATCAAAAAGATAAAATAAATTGAAATGATAAATAACAAATAATTGATTATATTTAAATGAATATAATAAAGAAATAAAATAAAGAAATTACAAAATTAATGAAATGTGATATATAACAATAAAATAAATAATGTTATTAAAAAAGAACTTAAAAATAAATAATAATGGGAATAACAACATCAAAACCAAATAACATATCAATTAATAAAACAAAAGAAATAATTCAACAACTAGAAGAATGGACAGAAAGAAGAGTATCGAATATATTATTTGATTCAGATATTGATAATTGGAATAAGAATACATCAGTATTTGATCAAAGAATAATAAACAAAGAACATATAATAATTATTATTGAAGATACAGATGGAAATAAATTTGGAGGATATGTTAATGTGAAAATTGATAAAGTTGATGATTATCAATGGATATATGATCCAAAATCATTTTTGTTTTCATTAGAATCAAATGGAAGAATAAAAGGAATGATGAAATTTGATATTAAACAACCACAATATGCATTTTATTTATGGAATCAATCAAGTGATTGTTTATTTATATTTGGATATGAAGATGATATTGTTGTTTGTAAAGAAAATTATAAAACAGAATCATTTTGTGATCAATATTCATATGAATATAAAGGAATATCAAATGCACTTTGTGGAAAACAACATCCAGACTTTTTCACACCACAACGAATCATTGTAATTGAAATGAAATGATTTTTATTTATTATTATTTATTTGAAATATAAAAATAAAAAAGAATATAAAATAAAATCAATAAATGAATATGAACATTTCATTTATCAATGAATGAAATGATGAATATAAAGATGTTCATATTTCTTTCTTGTTTTATTTCATTTGAAATATTCACATTTATTGTGTTAATTTAATACATAATAAAAAGAAATAAGAATAAAAGATAAATAAAAATATAATAAAATATTTATTTGATTCTTTTTTATTTATTTTTTATTTTTTATTTATTTTTTATTTTATATTTCTTTATTTATAATATATTGTCTATTATAAAAATTAATAATATTATGTTAAAACACAAAGAGTGGGATAAGTATTTTAATAAAATAAAGAAATAAAGCAAATAAGAATAAAAGAAATGATAGAAGACAATAAAAAAATCAAAATAAAATAATTAAAAGAATGAAGAAAGTAATTTGTAAGAAAATTAGTTTCAATGAATGAATGAAATTAGATTAAATCAAAGTATAGTTTAAAGAAAGTAAAACAATGAGTGGTAATGAATTAAATATAAATTGGTATACATCATAGAGTTAGTATGTAGAAGTAGTGATATAAGACTAACAATAAATCAATACATAAAGAGTAATAACAATATTGTTAAAATTACAAACTGACTTGATCATAAATTATACAATTATACAAACATAATGTATGAATTGTTTTGTTCATTCTTTTCTGTTAATATATATGATATTTGTAATCTGATAAAATAATGATAGAAATAAATTAAATGAAAGAAATATAACTCATTCCTTTAAATACAAACTCACAAGTACTATTATTAAGTTATGGATTTATAATAATTAATTTTTTTTGTTTCAGTTAATTTATTTAAAAAAAGAGAAAATTGAGGAATAACATCTGAAAAATAAATGAATTAATATAAAAGATCAAGAATTTCATCTCATAAATTATCAATAATCAATTCAATGACATCTAATGAGAAATTTGAGAAAATTGCAAAAGAGATAACATCATCAACATTAAAGGATATTATTATGTTTAGATGTAGTGATAAACCAGCAAGTAGATATAATTGCAAATTAGGAGGAACACCTTATTTACCAAAAGGATTTGAATATCCAAAAGATTTAAGCACTGGGAAGCCATTGTCTTTTCTTATGCAAATTAACTTTGAAGAATTTGAAGCATTAGAAAATTATCCAACAAAAAGAATTTTACAATTTTACATTTTAGTCGACGATTCATATAATTTTGGAATTAGTTATGGAGACATTACAAATCAAGAAAAGTTTAGAATTGTTTATTTTGAAACAATTGAAAAAGATGAATCTAAATTACAAGAAGCACCAACTATTGAAAATAATAATAACGGTCCTATATTTACACCTTGTATATTACTTCCAGAAAAAGGAGAAATGGG